TTTCTGCTTGATTTTCAACTTTTTTTCTGTAAAAAGCAGAGAAGATTAGTTTTCTAGTGTGCGTGCGTGCGTGCGTGCGTGTGTGTGTGTGTGTGCGTGTGTGTGTTGTGGTGCTGTGGATTTTGCATGTTTATGTTGTTCCTGATCAAAGGCAGCTAGGTGGATGCTGAGTTTCGATACGTAAGTGCAGACGAAAACCAGACACAAACACAAAATATTACTGAACGAATTTCATAAAATCAGCTTTTTCTTTGCTTTTGGTTTTTATTTTATATATATATATATACCCCATTATCAATGAAGTTCCTGAAGACGGTCTTCTAGTAGCTGCTCCGTTCTTTCTCTCTGTCTACTGGTGTGAAGGCACGGGGGCAGTTTGAAGATAAAAAAAGCTGCAGCACATTTTCTGTGGCAGACTGCAGGGACATGAGCAGGACAGATGGACAACTGACAGGTTTCATTACGTGTCAACTGAGGGTTGTGGAAGTGAGATTGAGCAGGCAACGGAGAATGCACTTCGTGTGCTACCTGATAGAGAGGTGTACTGAGCCTTACTTGAACCCACTACTGGAAACCTTTATACAAAGCCACCCTTCATTTAAACAGCCTTAAAGGCTGTTTTCTTATTATGAAGATGATGTGAAAAAATGTGCCCTGTGGCAATGATCTCATGTATGTCAGTGGACTACATATATGCAGTTACAATCTGAATTTACAATAACCATGGAAAGCTTAGTTCACTAGCAGTGAGAGGGAGAAGTCCAAAATTGCCCTCTTGCACATGTGGCATGACTTCATGTAGGTTTATACTTGTTGGTGTGTTATCATTGCCATCTGTTCTGCTCTGTGTTGATGTTCTCATCAATACAACAAGAGATCACTTCATATTCAGAACTAATTATGTACAATTGGCATTTACATGAATCCCAAGCAAGATAATGGCAATCCAGTATAATTATTGTAGAAGTGCTCCTCAAATATTGGACATTTTAAACGAGAAAGGCATTTACAGTGTTTTATGAGACTATAGGGAGCTGTGTAATTTCTATCCAAGTATCTTTAAACCACTGGATTGGATGGTAACTTTATTATAGTCAGTCACTTAAAGCCAAGTGTAATTTTGTCTTTTCTAACAGTCAAAATGCAACAAACTTAGTGGATAACAATTCTGAATGTATGGGATTTATGAATTATTATACAAGTGGGTTGCAGGTAATTAATTTATTATATCTTGAAAGTAGCTCCTAAACCTGGTAATTGCCTGGATGTGTATAGCATACCTTGGAGGGCCGATTAGTTCACAGGAATGTTGCACCAAACTGTTGCGATAAACAGCTGCAAGTAAACTTGCATTTGGTTGTCGTTTTAACAGGCTGGCCTTATTTTCTAGTCCCAAATAAATATTATACCAAATCTCATGTCAGATACCTTCTGAATCAAATTAAAAGAAACAAAAAAAACAAGCGAACATCCATTTTGAGACTGTAGAACTAGTTTCATTTAACAGCACCTGGTCCAAACTGTCAAACCTGCCTTCTGTGTCAGTGGAACATTGTATTCCAGGTGTGACACAGCTCCAAGCTTCAGTCTAATTTAAGTAGTCTTAAACTAAAGGCTACCCAGGTTCGTAGGGTCATTGCATACATAAGTGAGCCAAAGCAGTTAGCGTACATTGTGCACAACTTCAAATGGAGGTGTCGTTCTTCCCCAGCAGATGAGCTGTTTTAGCAGCAGTTGTCATGTTTTCTCTTGCCCTGGGCCTCATGAGGCACAGCATCCAGTTGGCATTATGGAGGTAACACAGTGCATTTTCTTATCAGCTCATTTGAATGTGTGATGATTCAAACTAGCTTGGCCAAATTGGCCATACAGTATGAAGCATAAACATGTCTCCTACCTGACATATTGTACATGGACTCTCTCACACACGTACCTGCACATTTGTGCTGTACTGTATATTTACTGCAGAATGCCCCTGTTGATCCAGTCTTGTGGAAATCTCCTCAGCTGGCTGTGATTCAGTGTTACATATGACATCCTTTTTAAAATAACTTTGTGCTGCTGGTGAGCTTTGACCAGAACAGTATGTATTATCGATGTCAAAGAGGTGAGTTTTAGGTTATGAGAGTGCTTGTAACAATGGGGCACTTAATGAAGAAGAAGAAGAAAAAAAACTACTTTAGCTTGAGTATTAGATATGAGTGAAAACAGACTGGTGACAATTTGAGCTTCCTTTTTTTTTAGAAGGCAGGGTATTTGCTATCTAGTGGGAGCTTGTATTTTTTCATCCAGTGGTCTGTCTTGCAGCATTTGATAAGCCTGTCCACCTACCCTCATTTCTTTTGATGAATGTCTGTTCCTTCCGCTGTGATTCAGTTGTTAATACCACTATTATTAATTGCTATTATTATCATTATTGCTACTGTTGTTACTACTAATGCAACTTATTGCAAAAATTATAACTGCTGTCCATTTTCAGGTATGTGTCTGTAATACCAGACCCTTCCACACGATGTCGGTGTGCAGTGGAGCATTTTCATTACAAACTAAAAGTAATGTTTGTTGACTTGTGTATCTACATCTAATATTAGGAATAATAAAATGTGGTTTAATCAAAAACATGACTTTTTATGTTAATAGGGTTGGAATAAAAGCTGCAGCAGTCAGGTGCATAAGAATGAACAAGAAGCCTATTTGAATTATGGTGTCTACAAACCCACAACATGTTTTCCATGGCTCAAACTGTTCAGTTATGTATCTCAAAAATGATTAAAACATTACTGATTGAGATTTTATAGTAAAGTGTATTAGTAGTATTTTTCAGAAAAAAATGCCTGTGTGATTCATTTTGAGGTTATGCTGCTATTATTCAACTGCTTAAGGTTGTACTTCAGTAATTTAGTAGTCAACTCCCATCAAGCTGGTGGATTCACAAAGGTCCAGTTAAAACAAACAAACAATAAGGTGATCAGCGATCTCCTGAATTTGAATCCTTACTGTAGGTCAAGATCTAAAAATGCTCAGTCTTAAATTTCCCATAATGCAAGTCCAAATCACCTTTCATCAGAACTTATGACATATCCACAGTTATGTTTTCATGCTTTAGAAGAAAAGATGTATATAAATGTCTTCACAGTGTATGATAGGTAAAATAAACTTCATGTGTAAACTTGGGTTCCCTTTAAATGCAACCAAGTCGATACCAAATGGGTAAAGTTGAGATTTGTAGACCAAGGATAGATAGAGTTTAAACATTTTTAATTCCCAGTTATGTTAGTATGAAACAGTAGTTGAAAAAGCACCAGGGAAAAGACTTGGTCAGCATGTACAGACAGATGATCAATATAAATGTAACTCTAATCTCATATAGCCTAAATGTATAAAAACAAATTGATTGCTAAATATCATTTTCACCATATTACTAATACATAAGGTTATTAAAATGTTTGTCTTTTTTTACCTGACAAAATCTAAGTTAACTATGTCTGATCTGAAAACACTGCTTATCTAAAATTATTAATTTGTTTTTAAACTGTGTGTATATACATTTTTTAACTAGGCTACTAGAGTTTAATTTAGTTTTTTTAAGTCCAAGGTATTTCAGTGTATCGTCTTCTGTAGTATTTCCAAAACTTAATATTTATCTTCTTTAGAAGCTTGACATGTGCCACGCTTTTATTTTGAAAGCTGAGGACCAACAACAAATGGACAGATGTTGGTGGGTAGAAAGTTGTATTTCTCACAGGTGACTGCAGAGAGGCACAGTTGAGCTGTAGACAGGATTCCACACATTAAATCTCTTTTTAATCCATGTTATCAGTGTAAAGATAACATGCCATAACTGAAAAACAAGCATTCGTTAGGCGATTATAATATTTGAAAATCTTTCGTCTTTAACGCAAATGTATTCAAACTCTGGCTTGGTTTCTTTATTCCCTGTATGAACACAATAACATCACTGGAGGTGTATATTTATCTTCTATTTTTTGTCTCAAATGGTGCAGATTTAGGGCCCAAGTTACATCTAATTATACCAATGTTTTTTTAAGGATAATCACCTTTATTGGCCAAGTACGTTACACACAAGGAATTTGTTTCCAGTACAGAGCTGATGGCAGCCATTTGCGGCACTACCTCAACTGATGGCTCTAACCCCCAGGGGCAACAGGGGGATTCAGTGTCTTGCCCAAGGACACTATGACTGCCGGCACTGAGATTTGAAACTTCAACCTTCTGGGTGGGAGACACCTGCTTTACCACTGCACCGCTGTTGCCTCCCCTGCTTTAGTTCGGCTTCATGTTGAGCTTGCTGTAGTTCATCCCATGTAAGATGGTGCAGTCTTTCATAATTTATGCAGTGGTGGAAAGTACTGTAACTAAGTACATTTACTCAACTACCGAATTACAATTTTGAGGTTTCTGTACTTGAATATTGTCTTTTTCTGCTATTACTGTGACTTCACTACATCTCAGAGGCAAATATTGTACTTTTGTTTTATTGTACTATGTATTTGATAACTTTAGTTACTATACTGTACTTTTCAAAATCAGACTAACCAAACAAAATACAATATAAATATAGGACTACTGGTCCCTGGTGGGAAAGTCAAAGCTAGCTAGCTAGTAGTTAATATCAGCTTCACCTTTACCAGCTGCAACATTAAATTTGATGAACACTAATGCATCAATAGCCTAATTATAACTTAATAATATGATATATATTAATGTGAAATTTGCCATTCTACATTATGAATAATTTTAGTACTTTATATTTTGGTACTAATACTTTAGTATTTTTTATTTAAGTAACCTTTTTACACTGTAATAAGTAAACTTTTATTTATGTAAGCAATCTGAGTAGGCTACTTCTTCCACCACTGATTTTAAGAACATAATGTTAAAGGATACTATAAACTGCTGACTATAGTTTTATGTAAATAAGACTTCTAGCTGTGTATAAGTTCAGTCAATTCCAAAGCATCACCAGTAGGTGGCGCCAGGCTTCACGTTTCTGTTTCCATCTGCCTACAAGTCAATACAGAGGCCACATATTACCCGGCAGCCACATTCCCCGTGTATGTGCAAGATGGCCGCTGTTGTTGAGAATGTTGTCAAACTGTAAGTGACTTTTCTACATGTCTTACATCTGGGTAGCAGACAGATACCGTGGTTACACCAAGTCGGCTGTATGATTATACGGCCACTAACCACGTCGATAGGTAGCTTAGCAACATTTCTACTGACTTAGCGAGGTTAGCCAAAGCTATCAGACCGTCGTGTGTGTTCACATCCTGGAATGGAAGTTAGCAGACAGACAGATAACGAAACATGACTCCATGTAACAGAACGTGTTGATTTGATTACAAGTGTAGTTATGAATATATTAGGGTTACTTCTTAGGTCTTTCTAGTCAAACAGGCATCGTGGTGTTAAGGTCAGTTATATAGCAGCTAGGAGGCTCCCACGCTAACAAGCTAAAGAGAGTGTAGCGTTAATTAACGTTATTGCCAACGTTGTTAGCGCAGGCTGGAGGTGTAGCGACTGGCCAACTACTCCAGAATGAATGAAAGACTGGCCTGGAAAAGCACACATTTAATGTTGGGACCCCAAGGTTATACACGCTGCATGGCTCTCATTTCTCATTCGCATATAATAACTCCTTGAAAGTGTAAAGTTAAAAGTTTTCAGTGAGCCGTGCTAGGTTGTACTAAAACGTGCTGCCACTTCCGTTGTCTGTATTTTGCGTAAGGTGTTAAGACATTTTACGGCAATTGCGAGCATTTGGGGAAGCCCCCAGTAACCACGGTAACCTATAAAAATATTAAACTTTCCCGAGTCCTGTATAAATGGATGTTTCTTTTAAATTGTACCTTGTCGACTTCTGCAGTTATTTATGACTTTGTGTCAAATCATTAATTAAAAGATAAAACTACATATTTTCGGACCAAACCCATCCTGTCCTGATAACCCAAGGTGAAAGCTGCAATAAAAGTTTTAGAAACTAATAATCATGGCGCTGAAATGAGAAATGTTCACATACATGACAATTTTTTTACAACAATTAGCTAGTTGATTAATTGATTATTTATAATTTGAAATGTTTTAATTATAAAAATGGACTGAAATATTAAGATTTCCTACTTTGTTTAATATTGTTGTAAACTCAGGATTTTGGGGTTGTCTGACTCTTGATCAGACAAAGCAAGGCAATTAGAGAAGTGACCATGGACTGTAAGAAACTTGAATGGATAATTTTTCATTATTTTCTGGGTTTTGTTTAGACTGAGTGATTAATCAAGAAAATAACTGGCAGATTTAATGATAACACAATTATGTGGGAGTTGAACCCTTTGGTATATACTGTAGTTTAATTAGTCTGAAGATTTGCTGTTTGGACATATTTTTCCTAGAAAGAAAGGCCTTTATTTCCAATTTCTTCTTTACCAAGTAGCACATTGGCAACACAGACAAACAGCAATGTGCAGAATTAATATGCCTCTACAAAATAAATGAAATCTGTCATTGGAGTTTCAGCTTTCTTGTTTTAAACAATTACACACTATACTCACATTAAGGCACCAATGCCTCACTCAAAATGTCTTACTCCAGGGTACCCCGACAGCCTCAGCAGTTGCAGCTGCTGGATGACAAGACTGTTTGTTTGAAGAACTAGTTGATAGGTCTCTGTCATGAGCATGCTTGTCAAACTTTGAGGCAATGCACCCAGTAGCTATCCCGAAAGGGAAAAATGAAACTGCACCATCTATCTGATATAGTTATGTTGACAACACTGCACACCTGTGACTGTGTTGACTGCCAAACTCTGTTATTGGTGTACTAACAAAAGAGCACCTGCTGTTGCACCCTCCAGAATTAGCCTGAGCTACAAAGACACTGTCTGGTGAGTGAGCTATTTTTCAAAGGCGACAGCAGAGTGGTTAAAGACAGCTGTCTTTAAACTTTCAGAGAGGTTTAAAATTAATACTCTACTCCTTCTGGGGTAGCCACACCTTTTTTCACCATTTTAGACCTAATACTCAGCATCTGTCTGTTGTTTTGTTCTGTCAGGCTTGGAGAACAGTACTACAGAGATGCAATGGAGCAATGTCACAACTACAACGCCCGACTCTGTGCTGAGAGGAGTGTCCGGATGCCGTTCCTTGACTCTCAAACTGGAGTGGCCCAGAGCAACTGTTATATTTGGATGGAGAAGAGACACAGGGGTCCAGGTAAGATAAGAAACGTCTTCAGTGAAATGTTTTCTGGGTTGAAGACCAAAACAGATGTTCACATAAGATCATTTTTAGTCTGAGAGGGAGGGAAGTGATCCATTTTAACTTTGACTGAAAGCAACTTTTGGAGAAAAACTCAGCATGTGTACATGTCTTTCAATCTGTAAGTAATTACCAGTTTTTACCTGGTAAAATTAATAAAAAAAAACTGCTGACTTAAAAACTTGCGGGTCAAAGTATCCAGTAACAATGCTTACAAACGTTACCCTGACTGGGCTGCACTTGCTGAAATTGCCTATGTTCAGCGTGCCAGCAGAGAGGGGCTGCTCTCTAGTGCTCACATGGTGGAGGAAAGTGTGGCGCCGCTTAATGTGCATTGCAAGCTACAAAGAGACAGACTGGTTTCCATGGAAACGACATCAGCGTTGTCAGCGGTTGAAAGGCCCAAAATAAGTAAGCTTTATGAGGAGATGAGAAGTTTTTGTGGCTAAAAAGTAATTACTGGAAAATGTTTGTTGTTCCAAGAAGGAGAGCTGCCCGTCAGCTCAGACTGCAGAATTAGTTGTTAGGTTGAGCAGTCTGGTCAGAGCTGTGGATTTTAGGACTGCTCTGGATTGTTTAACCCTGAAACTGCAGCAATAATGTGAGTTTTCAGGTAAAACAGCTCACAGTGTTGCTGTATGTTAAGGCTGTTTAATGAATACTCCTACGGTGTGTTTGACATATGTTTTATTTTGGTACTTGGTGTCAGCTGAGTAGAGCAGATTGATTTGGAAAATCTATAGGCTATTGCTGTCATGTTTATAATATTCCAGAGAAGAAACATAATTTTGGGTATATAGTTGCTTTCTTGTGATCCTATGTCAGATCAGTAACACTGATACTGATAGAGTTTAACAGAGGTAAAGCTAACTGTTTACACTGCAGGTACATGAATGTTTGGATTAATAAAGCACATCCACCAACAACATGATGATAGTTCTTTATGCCAGTGTTAACGCTGTGAGGAGGCATGCGCTTGAAACAGGTCCTAAATACTATGCTGACAGGTGCCACTGTGACAAGATACTCAATGTTATTCACTTCAGCTTCAGCTGTCAGTGGTCATAATGTTATGGATGATCGGTGTATATATCCTGTCTGTCAAAAAGCAGATGTCTTGTATTTGCGTATTCGGTGCTTTGTCGATGGAGCTGTTCTGCTGTCCCCCAGGCATGGCTCCAGGGCAGCTTTATACCTACCCAGCCAGGAGGTGGAGAAAGAAACGACGATCTCATCCTCCAGAAGACCCCCGGCTTATCTTTCCTCCTGTCAAGTCAGGTACCACAGCGCTCAGCTCAGTTCATCCTCTGTTTCACCATGGCAGCCTTTAATAAACACCTTGCCATATATTTGACCGTCTTGTAATAATAGTCTACTAATGAGATGTTTTACTATTTGAATTTATTTGGCTTTTGCATTTATGTCTTAACTTATTGTGTTTTGTTCACAGAGCTAGATTTAGGGCTGAAGAAGGATGCTCTGTCATCATCAGACGGCAGCAGCCTTGAGGCCCTGCTGAAGGGGGAGTCCCTGGACAAACGGATGACCACAGATGTCCGAGGCTCTGAGGAGGATTCAAACCTGAGCGACTACACCGGAAGCCTGAACCCTGCTTCCCGCATCAGAAAGGTTCTTGTTTTCAGCATAAGGCATAAGACATGCTTGTAGTGAAGAAAATAATTTTACTTTGCAATTATTTTTCTCATTATGTCAACATAGAGAATCCTAGAGCCTGATGACTTCCTAGATGATCTGGATGATGAGGACTATGAGGAAGACACGCCTAAAAGAAGAGGCAAAGGGAAAGGGAAGGTAAATAACAGACTTGGTCAAAAGTCCAATCCCACTGTGTGTGTGTGTGTGTGTGTGTGTCGTCACATGTTTATTGACTAACAATGTCTCTGTCCCCAGGGACGAGGGGTGGGAAGCAGCAGAAAGAAGCTGGATACAGCAGCACTAGAGGACAGAGACAAGCCATACGCCTGTGACAGTGAGTTGTGATGGGGGAGAGCGGAGCATGTGAACTCTTGTCAGTATAAAGGGTTAATGCAGATGTCAGTAGCTGTAACATTTGTAATCTACTCAAGCAAGACTTAGCCCCAGTCCTCATTCTTTGTCAGCTCCCTTTACATTTCTCCCCTTTCTTCTCAATGTCTCCTATATTCCATCTTCTCTTTGGTAGACCTCCTGAATCTGACTGGTTATTAAGCTAGTTTAGGCTCAGCTATGTTTTTCTGTTTGTCATTATGATACCAAAACATTTCCTATACTTGCATTTCACATCCTTCCTGAAATGTTTCTCCCACTTGTTGTCATATTACGTATGTATTGCTTGATGTTTTTTCCTTTTCTGTGAAGCATTTTCACTTAGAGCTGCAGTTGTGCAGCACAATGACTGACTGACATGTCCTCTGTCAGTCTGCAACCTGTTTCTCTGAGTCTCTGTCTGTGCTCTCTTCTCCTTCTCTCCTCTCTTTCAGACACTATCAAACAAAAGCATATTTCAAAACCTTCTGAAAGAGGTATATTTCTCTCATTCCTTTTTACTCCAGTCTGCCTTGTCTTTCATCTTCACTGCCTGTTTTAATTTTCTGTTTATTACCAAGTACATTTGCTCTTTGTGTAGTTCAGTTCGTAGGGTGGATGTTTTGTTCTACACAATTTACTTAAATGTAAAGAAGTAGATTTAGAAAAGGTCAAGACTGTTATTGTACAGCCTGGTTAAACGGTAGTGTGTAATCAGCCAAAGATAAGAGCTGTCTCAGCCTAAAAACAGATAAGCTTTAGCCTATTAAAGTCATTTTTTCCACCCAATCTGGCCTTGAACGCCCCATGGATTTAGATACACTAGAAGCTGGACGCTGCTGCTCTTTTTTATTTTGTCCTTTTGTCTTAACATTTTTTTCCCCTTTGCTTTTGTTTTTCTTTATTCCTGTTCACCACCTCTGCACCCTGTAAAGTCTCATTCCACATCCCATGTTTTAGAGTGAACTGCTGCCTCTGCTGTGGTTTTGAATCAGTGTGAAGCCTGTTTGACCTTTTGGACAATACTTTTCAGCTCTTTCTGCAACTGTACACAGGCACTTGGCATGTGACTAGCTGCGTCTTTTACAGCTTCACCAGGATGCTCTGGAGAAAACAGTCCTTTAGAGTACAGCATATCACTCCTTTAGAAGGCAGCTGAAGAACAGGATGCTAGAGCCTTTTGAGGAAGTGAAAATGAGAGAAAGTATGGAAGTGAAAGAAGAAGTACTTTGTCTTTGGGAATTATCTCATGACAAACCTCACCCCCTGTGACAACGGCTGCACACAGTGGCATCTTTGTCCTCCCTAAAGTTAGCAAATCCTTACACAATCTCTGGTTAATAGAATAAAAAAAAAAGATCAGAAACTTTAGTGTTCAGAGTGAGGAGCAATTGGTAAAATAATTCCGCGTTGAATTACAGAGGTCATATCCAGTACACTCGTGTCATTTTGAGAGAGATGGATACAGTATATGAAACACATTTCTCAGTTTATTCAATGTGACTTAGTCAAAACCTGCTGAGGTTGTGTGTGTTGTCAGTTGAAGATGTTCAGACTAGTTTTGTGAAGATCACACACCTGTGCAGTTCTTCAGTGTCATATTATGGTACGAGTGGCTGAGATGTCATCTTGATAATTTAATACATGGCTGCCACAGGGCTCCAGCTAAGAGGATGTGATGATGAATGTCTCAAAACGTTGCGTCAGAGCATATTCTTTGCATTCCAAACATTTTCATCATTATTCATTTTTCCTCTTATTTCATTGCAAATTTTATCATCTCATTGTGCTGCTCTTGATTTCAAACAAAAAAAAGCAAGTGACTGCAGGAGCCTGTAGGGTTCTTACATGTTTTACCTGGTGTTTCAGGTTCACTTCACCACTTAGCAGTGGAAGTGTATTAAACTGTGCTACCATATCAAAGTTGTGAGGCACAGAAAAGATACTGCACAGATCTGACCTTCTGAACATAAAGTATGGTTATGGTCATCGAAGTCTTAGTAGACATAATTAGTTCTTTTCATTTTTTTTACAGTTAAGGACATCTTGGTTGCTGCTGTCACTGAACATACTAACAAATGAATTATACCTGTAACAAGATTGTGCCTGTTTCCAACTATAAATTGTTTGAATAGTTCCTGCTCATGTACAGTATATAAAGCTAAGTAGGAAACCATAGGGCTTTGGTTATAACAGCAAAACTCTTTAAAGTCTTTGTATCATAAAAGACAGTCACCAAACAACCTGGATGATAAAAATAATCATAGCAGGTGGTTCTGTTACTCTCAGAAGTACAAATGCATTTTGGTCAGAAGTGAAAAATGCCATAATAGCACCATAAACAACTAGTCATCCCATCCATCCAGTCACCCTCCTTTCACCACTGAGTTTTTACAACATGGACATTACTCATGATTTCAGCGTTTTCATGTGTGTGGTGTTTTCTGGTTTTGGTGACAGTCTGTGGGAAGCGCTACAAAAACCGACCCGGGCTAAGCTACCATTACGCCCACTCCCACCTGGCTGAGGAGGAGGGCGAGGAGAAGGACGAGCTGGAGATCAACGAGCCCGCCCTACCACTGCCTGAGGAGCCTAAAAGTAAGAGAGGAGTCATTAAAGAGATTTGGACTTTCAAATAACTGAACACTGATGCTCTCTGTGTTTTCATCTTGTCTCCCAGCTCCCAAGAAAGGCCCAGATGGTCTTGCATTGCCTAATAATTACTGTGATTTCTGCCTTGGGGACTCGAAAACTAACCACAAGACCGGCCAGTCAGAGGAGCTGGTGTCCTGCTCGGACTGTGGACGCTCGGGTATGTTTAAGGCAGTTGGCTACTGGAATAGAACAGTAACAAGAAAAACCCAGTTTGTTTATGACTGGAGATATTTGTGGCAAATTATAAAATGATAGTTTTTTTCAACACAGGCCACCCCTCCTGCCTGCAGTTCACTCCTGTAATGATGGCTGCTGTGAAGACGTACCGCTGGCAGTGCATAGAGTGCAAATGCTGCAACATGTGTGGCACCTCGGAGAACGACGTGAGCTTACCTATATTCAAGTGTTGTACAGTGCCTTCAGAATTTTTTTTTAGAAATGTGCAAAAATGTCAAAAAATGTTTTACTTTATCATTATGAGTTATTGAAAGATTTAGGCAGCAATGCAGTGAATACTTTAAGGGGCTGTATGCTTATTACTAGATGTTTAGGCAGGAGGCTCAGGTGCTTCTGTCATCTCATTTCTTCCAGGATCAGCTTCTGTTCTGTGACGACTGTGACAGAGGCTATCACATGTATTGTCTCAACCCGCCCATGTCTGAACCTCCAGAGGGTAAGTTCAACACACTAAAGAAATGATGTGATACAAGACACAAATGGTTTACACATCACTATTTTCCGTTTTAATTTAGATTTTACAGTACATACCATCCCACCTTTTCTGATTTGGGGTTGTAGAACTAGGACTGTATAGTTTTGAAAATTCAGAAAATGTATATCTTTTCAAGCGAAGGAGAAATAATAACAGTAACATACATTTTGGTACCTGTAAACACTGAAGGAATCGGTACCGAATGTGTGTGATGATTCTGCATCCTCTGTACCTTTTCAAAATGCTTCAGCTTCTTGTAGGAACGACTGGGTTTCATTTGAAAAATTTGTGCCAATGAGATACCAAAGCTTTGGTAATGATACATCCTGTCCTATTTTTACTTGATTTATCAGACTCGAAAAACTTTGTTAATGCACCTTTAACGATGGCTTTAAACATCTGACACTAATAGTTCTCTGTCCTTTTGGCACTCAGGGAGCTGGAGCTGCCATCTATGTCTGGACCGTTTGAAAGACAAGGCATCCATATACCAGAACCAGAACGCCCCACCATCGTGATGGCTGCTCTCGCCTGCACATACTCATCACTCAGCTGTCCCGCAGCAGTATGCTTTACCCTTCAAGACAGACGATAATCTCCCCTGACGAGCTGACCTCAGAGGGCGTGTTCAGCAGACAGTATACTGTATTGTGAAAAGGGAAGTATACCATATCAGACTGGTCTCACTTAGCTTCAGATATGACTGTTACACAGTTTCAAGCTCCGCATCAGCCACATAGATTTTTATCTTCACCCCTTTGTCACATGGTTGGGGCACCCTGTAGCCAAATGGTTAAGGGCGCGGCGCACCACCTACCCCGGGTAGCACACTGCATGTGCGATGTCAGCGGTCCGACCACCGACATTTGTCGCAGGTCCCTCTCCCTCTGTCTCCCGTTTTCTGTCCGCCTCTTCACGACCTACTATACAGTAAAGGCTAAAAGCCTGAAAAAACAAAAACATTGGCCATGTGGCAATTCAAGCAGTGCTGAATTTCTACAAGCCTACAGGGCATAAATAGCCAAATTACAATGCCCTGTTTTTACACACATACCTACAAAGACGATAAAACCATGTCTCTATCCTGCTATGTACTGATTTTATGACTAGAGCAGAAATAGAGCTTACTAGAATAAAGTAGCATGCCAATGCTTCCTTGTGGTAACAAAAGACATTTTATAGTATTTATATATTTCTATGGTATATAATAGTATGTCCAAATTGGAAACAGGATGGCCACGTAATGGTCTCTTTATTAGGGCCCATCTCATCATTATGGAAACAACCACTTTTCTTTTATGGCACTGCTGATATTTAGTAATTCACTTGATCGAGTGAAAGGGATCTGCTGAGACTGTAAATGAGTTTCTATCTCATGCCCACACCGGTACACGCATGAATAGACACCCTGACATATTCGTCAAAGTGGCTCCAAAGACTGAAGGACTTGAGGAATGGCAGCCTACACTCGAGTCTAGTTGTTGGCTCCTGTGTGCTGGTGGGCCATTGAGCTCACAAAAATGCACGTGGACATACTCGTGCATGTTTCATTCAGGCTTTGGGGCTTTGTTGACAAAACTGTCAGCTCTTGGCTCTGGTCCTGACGACTGCAGAGACTGGGTGCTGATAATTGACTGAACATCTGTCTTCAGCCTGGCCCTTCTTTGTTTGACAGATGTGTTAATGTTAGGAGGATGATTGTTCCTGTCACCTAAAAATATAAATGTTATTTGCACTATCAGCCAGGTTAAAGGATAAAAAGCCTTCACATTGCTGTGTTGTAGCAGTTTGCTGATCATGCATATCTAATATCTGTTGATGCTGTGGCACCACTAGATGACTTTATTGTAACTGAGGACTACGCGACCTTACAGACGATCACTTGCTGACGAGGTAAAAGCAATATAAGAGCTTCTTTTGGCTGCTGGGATGACAGGGACTCAGCAGAGTCAGTCTAGGCTCTGCTGGCAGAAAATGTGTGATACTGTAAATTTTCACTAAGAAAATCCTATTACGGCTAGGAGACTGGAGCAGCACTTATAGATGGCTCCACATTATAGAAAAGCGATTGTGTGTATATGTATAGTCCTATGGAGAGATGGCTCCTGTTGTCAGTGCTTTCTCATGTAATGGTTTCCTTCTGTGGCAAGGCTAAAAGAACAAAGTCTGGCTGAACTGCCTAAGCAGTTACTTTACCTCAAACAAACAGTATTTAAAGCGTGGAATTATGCTGTAAATAGACTGGACAAATGCAGAGGGATAAATAGTGATGGCAGCTGCAGTGTCTGCTTCAGTAACTGCATATTCTACAGTTAAACAAGCGCATGCTCAGTAATTGTCTGCACTCTTGTATGCTACGTAGTCGTCTCTGCGTTAGGTCGGCAAAGGTGTTGGGAAGTGGTGTAATATAAATTAACCCAGCTATCATGTAATTTCAATAGCCAACTAACAATTATTAATGCATTACACCAGTATAACTTGGTTTGTTTTCTCACCACGTTTTAACCGTACTATTATTTAGAGACAGTGGCTACTAGAATATTTTGCTGGTTGTTTTTGTATTCATGAATGTTTGCGTACCTGATGTGTGGAGCATTTTGGGACTTAATGGAAGTTGTTTTCTAGTTAATCCTGTGATCCAAGTCTCAGCAGAGCTCCTCTCTTCCATGGCTTGAAAATAAAGCAAAATCCATAACATGATTTTGAAGTAAATTCGACACTGAATGGTAAAGTAAAGATGGACCAAGTATCCAACTTCTAGGCTGCACTCAGAAAGAAGCCATAAACAAGAAGGGGTCCTGTGGTTTTCATTATCAGTGGCGCCTGCAGGATTATAATCCATAGTACACACAAAAACTGCCTATGGCAGAGTAAATCTCATTTTAATGAGAATCTTTTCACATTTTAAGATACTCTGCTCGTTTTTACGAGATACTTTTCACGTCATTATGGCATACTGTATTTTCTTGTTATAACAACGCAGGCTATTTTGTCATAACAACACAGCCTAATGTATTTTCTTGTAATAACGTGAGCTCTGCTAAACTTGGAGTGAGTAGTACAGTATGCACACTGGCTTTAAGCAGCACCTCCGTAGCTCATTCAGTTCAGCAGCCTCTCTCTCATCAGCACCTCCCATACAGACTTTTCAAACGTGGCCAGCATTGCAATCGGGAGTTGCACTCAGGCCGGTCTTTGAGAATCACTGATCTAACACTTAAATCCACATACAATAGTCTGCAAATTAACACATGAATACACCTCACGAGCCATGATAAATAAATAAATACCCTGCACGTCCTATTGATGTTACAGGTATTATTGACAGCAGGTCAAGTCAGTGTGTGGCTGCTGTCACTCACTCCAAGCTGCACGGCTCACTTTAGACAGTAGAAAAGATGTGATCCACTTCGGGGGTGTGCGATATCATATTAGATAGCTCTTCGGTCCATACATTTGAAGCTATATTTCTCTATCAATGGCGGCCAAACACAGTGGCTAAAATTTGAGAACATTTTTATTTTTAAAGTGCGTACAGGATTACAGCTGCAGGTGCCACTGTTAAATATGAGGCTATGGTTTTGTGGTTTCAAGCTCTGGGAGAGGATTGTTCATAACAGTTATACTGAGCTCGTAGGTTTACACAGTAGGTAAACTCTCTTAGGGTGAACTTCCATTTGGTTTGTGATGAAATGTTTCATTGTATGAAGTTTGTCTTCAGAAAAATAAAATACTAGGCACTATAGAACTGCTGGTGTTGTCCCCCACAGGACAGCGGCTGTCCCCATTTTTAATTAAATGCAGTTTGGCCATGTTAAAGCTTAATCTGGAAACTTAAGACTTAAAATTATACTCAACCAATCTACTTAAAGCTTTGTTTCCCAGAATACAAGAAAGTCAGATTTGTGTCAAAAGGCTTCACCAGGTTTCTACACATTTAATATTTCTGATTTACATGACTTAGAAAGAGACAGAGAAACCTCAGTGAGGAGGTTGTGATATTTAGCAGTAAAGGCCAGGTAGAAAGAAAAAACTGAAGATCTGTGTTGTTGTTTTTTTCTGGTTTACTCCATGAGATGGCAGTCATGAACTAAACATCCTCTTTCTATTAATTCAGCTGCTGCATCCATTCACTATCACTGCCACCTAGAGAAAACAGGTGAAAGAGATGAACTGTTATTGCACGGTTTTTATTGCACTCAAAATACAACAGTCTTCTCTAATCCAATAGGACCTCTAAAGCAATACATTTTAATTCTAAAATATCACAGAACATTCATCGAGCGCTGTGAAACTACAACAAGTACTTGGCTTGGAGCTGTTGTCGCTGGAGCCCATGACAAGTGTAATGAGATTATTACTTGATTTTAATACAGGAGCTGGTTACAGCAGAGACTCCCAACAGCTGATGCATGAGTCATGAGGGTAGAGGATGGATATGCGGGTACGTAAGGACAATTTTTGCCTCAGATAATGTAAAAAACAAACAAACAAAAAACAACCTACCAAAAATGCTATATTAAACATATATGGAAATGATTATTTTCACTCAATCTGTAATTATATTTCTAATTCATTCAAGCCTTTAGAATATATAAAATGTCAGGGGATAACAGGAAATCTCATCTCAGTTTCCCACTTTTGCCAAGGTGGCATATTGCTTGTTTTGTCAAATCCAACAGCTTTAACAGGTGAATGACTGGAGTCTTTGCTTGATAAATGACAACTGAATGTCCAAACAACTGTCAATTCATTTTTTGCTAGTCTGACAGACACTTCTAGAAGGCATCCTTGACCTAAGAACTTCAAGGATAAGGCTGGTCATTTTCTGTATTAATAGTATTTTCAGCAGTGTCCATACAGAGATTAAAACCACCACTTGTCATTTGACAATCCTGGACGATTTTGTTCGTCTGTGTGATTTTCATTATTGTTACATCCACCCATCCATTATCAATATCACTGATTCTGCAGAGTGTCATGAGGGGGTGGAGCCAATCCCAGCTGACACTGAGCAAGAGGCGGTGTACACCCTGGACAGGTTGCCGGTCTATCACAGGGTTGACACAGACACAAACAAGCACACACACCACACTCACTCTTATGGGCAATTTAGACTTGCCAGTCGACCAAAGCTACATGTCTTCGGACTGTGGGAGGAAACCGGAGTACCCAGAGAGAACCCACACAGGCACTGGGAGGACATGCAAATGCTGCACAGAAAGGCCCCGGGTCGGCCGGGGCTTGAACCCAGAACCTTCCTGTTGTGGGATCAACAGTGCTAACCAACAAAAATGTTTAAAAACACATCAGGGAAACACACTGCTGCACTGGGTGACACGTTTTTTCATTACAAATCCCAAGACCAGTCTATGTTGCCCATTAATACACCCATGATGCTGCCGCCTAATGAAGAAATTGCACCCAATGCAGCTGTGTGTATCACTAATGTGTTTTTAACTATTTTTTGGACAGCAGATATCTATGACACACATAAACAAGTTAGTCCAGGACAGAGATTAACAGTGCGTAAAGGCCAATCAACGGCGGTTTGAGTCTCTGTATGGCCATTCCTGAAAATACCATTATAGAAAATGAGCAGCCTTATCCTTTAATATGTACTGATGGGTATCAACAGTCCCAGTATACAATTTAAGTAGATGAGACTAAGTGTGTTTAAATGCAACTACACTTTTAAACTGACTAAAAGAAAAAGTATGAATAACAAACATTTTCTTAGTTTTTGTAAGAGACAGTTCTTTGTCTACACTGCACACTGGAGGAAATTTTAACACTGCAAAAGTCAAAATGGATTCAATAAACAAAGCTATTAAAACAGGAAAACTGACATTCACTGCTTATACACACAAATTTAAACAAACATTCTATCTGTGCTTAAAAATCCCTCATTTTTTAAAAAGGTCAGACACAATTTAAATCTACAAGCAGGAGCCTTATTGTCCTTTGCATGAAATAAAGTTGAATGTGTCAATAAATCAGAACTTAAAAAAAAACAAACAGTGCTGAAGTGTGCTCATCTGATGTTACATCCCTCATGTTCCACTAAACAAACTGACAAAATATGCATTCATTCTGTTACAGTAATTCACAAATAGGCTTACATGACTTTTTTAAAAAATATCAAAACACCACAAAACTAGTCTTTGTCAGACAGTCATCGTTGAAAAACTATGTAAATTATTTAACATTTATAAACAGTAAAAAGTATTCTCAAGTAGACGATAATTATATAACCATTGGAAAAAAAAAAATCTCCCTCATCTCTTTGGTGGAACATTTAGTCTTGAATTAAATTATAGTGAATACTAAACTCAAACTCCATGTATTTCAGGAATGGGTCCAAATTTTTATGTTTTCCTAATAAAGTGCAGCTGGTATTTAACAATATGGGAAATGCAGCATTATTTGCAACAACAGACACAAGCACTATATGCATGAATATACAGGTAAATTGTTCTGTGTCTGTCCTGATCCGAGTTTGTGCTAAACGGGAAAAATGTTCCACCAAAGTGAAGTAATCTTGGAACGATTGTCGTACCTTAAACGTGAAATATTGCCACTAACCTGCACTCAAAATCATCAGTTTGTGACACTCAAAAAGTACATTATATTAGATTTCATAGTAATAAGACCTCTAAAAATACTGCAACACTAGAATAATCTCTTTATGTACAATAATCTGTACCGGTACTTGCTTTTAAGTAATGAGGCAACATTGTCAAAATATTGTCACAATAATGTACATTTTCATACTAATGCAACTATTCTAAAAGTCTTCTGGCACAGACACGGTGTCCATTACTGAAGCACCTCACCGCTGAGAGGTTCTTGGCTGTAATTCAGTGCCTCCTGCTACATTTGAATGCATCTATATATTTCCACACTAATGGTAAAGTTAGCTAAGGTGTACATTCAAAACATACAAGGGTTTTCAAACCTAAGGCCAATAGACAAACGGATTAATCTGATGCATGACATGGCAGATCAAAGTACTTTTTTTTTTTGTTTGTTTGTTTTTAATTGCCGCTAAATCCACAGCCACCTATGATTTTCAGCCTCGTGTCACACATGTTGGTCCCTGAAAACAATTTACTGGGTAGTCTCAATTCAACGCCTCACATCACTTGCTCCAAGTCACAAGTGCAGCTGCCTTTGCAATCCTGGACATACAGTTTGATTAGTGTTGCCACAAGCATACTTGATCGGAAGTAGCGTACGACAGCCAGAAACAGACATAAATGATGAAATCAACAGCTTGTGATCCTGGCATTGATTACTTGGACTAGCTACATTCAAAATACAAACATTAACAACACAAATAAATTAGTTTAAGAGTAGACTCAGACTGAACGAGCTCAGTGACAGCGAACAAGTGTCCCTGAAATGGTAAGATCCTTGTACAATTTAGACTTCTTTCACTTACGGCATGGGCTATTTACAGGTACTGTAATGTGCATAATATCTAGGTTTGTGAACCTTGTGTTTCAGCTATATACATTATACAGTACTGTGCTAAAGTTTCCAAATCAACCAATTAATTAAAACTGTAGTAAAGAGACAAAAAAAAGTTTTATGAAATCAATATTTGGTGCGACTACCCCTTTACCTGTAAAACAGCACCAACTGTCCTTGATACACATGCGCACCGATTTTCAGCTACCGTACTCACTAGGCAGGTTAACCTCTGAGACCTTGCCCCACTTTTTAGGCCCTCAAATGAGATATATATGTTTTTTTTGTTTGTTTGTTTGTTTGTTTTTTTTACTCTTGCTGTATGTTTGCACTTGTTGTCATACAGCGGACTGATTTAGGGGCTGATCACATGCCTTCCTGATGATATTGCATGATTCTAAACGTTTATTGTTCCTAAAGCTTTTTCACAGTACTTTATATATCTGAGCCTCTACAATGACTATAAATCTAAACTTCTAATAGTTTATTGCACATCATTTATTTAAAAAATACTAATTAGCAAGCAGAAGCAGCACATTAGTAGTTGGCTGGAAAGCTAAGCTGGTGGAATTTTAGCAGGAAGCGACCTCTCTCAAAATTGATGCCTTGTCAAAGAATGTTAGTGGAAAATGTGAGGAGATTAAAGATAAAATATTATGCCAAAATTAAGTATTTCAAACCAAAAAGATAGCTCTGTTACAGTAAATAATTATGACCAAAATACTAATGAATTTGCCACAACACTGTGCAACGAATTAGCTAATGAGGACCAGAACTGTTTGTTTTCTAGGTCACACACTGTTTCAGTTTGGAGCTAAAGGCCCAAAGTTTCTTCTGCTTTCATCTGCCATGTCACAAAGTTTTTTTGGTACCCTATTTGATACTTAAGACAGTCTTCACACACTGCACTGTACAAATAGGAGAATAGAAATGCTATTTTTGTGTGTGTGCAGTTGCATTTGTACAGTTTCACCCTAGCAGTCCTACAGAGGGGCACAGAAACTCACAAGGAACACAACAACGCTGTCGCTTTTTTTTTTTTTTGCTTCAGGAAAGAAGATGTGGTAGAAAGGTAGGTACTCAACATCTTGCCTGACAGGGGTGACCTTGACCTTAAGGCTTCACATGTGCCCAAAGAGGATGGAGCAGAGCAGGAAGATGGCATAGAGAAACAACAGCCCCAGACCCAGCCGGCGATCCAGCTTCCAGTGGTTCAGGTGAACACTCATCACCTGCAAGCAGAGAGAGAGAGACATGAGGAAGAGCCAAAACGATTCGCCTGGAAACCAGTCTGCTACCAAAGCGTAGCTCTGCAATATGAGACACCGGGACATTAATTATAAATCCTACTGAGTTTAGTAAAGCATCAATAACTTGGTTTTAGATAAATATGAGAGAGAACATTTATAGGAGCCAGACCAATGCCACCACTACTGTTTTTGGGCCACACAGGGGCAGTGCTAAAAGGCACACACATTTGGAGTTGTGTACTGACAAATATAAGCTTGATATTGACACTCCCTTTTTGTTCCGTTTTGCTTGCACCGACTCCTTAAAGATATTTCTCATTTATTAGCTGCTAAGTGCTACACTATGTTTGCTAGCCATTTGGTAACGTCATCAATCTGCTGAGAAGGTCATGGACAGTACAGTGGGTTTAATAAACAAGCTACCTGCTGTGACTAGAAGCAAGGTGGATAAAATCTGTTGGCCATTAAACCAAAATACCTAACAAACATTTTCTCCCTTATCTTCACACTGAACTAGTGACCTGGGAAGCATCATTCATCAATCAGAAACCAGTAAAAGTTCTAAATGTGCATCTACCCAGTAGCTGGATAGCTTGGTGGTTAACGCTACTGACTTTAGTTTGGCAGGTCGGGGTTCGAGTCTCTGTCAAGGGATGCTAGATCATTTTAGAGGTGCGAGGGGAGGAAATAGAGAGGGAATAAAGAGGTGGTAGTGACAAAGGGGTGAGAGGGGAGATAGACAGGGGAGAGAATAGAGGGGAATGGGTGTCTATTCCCTCCCACCCTACCTCCCCTAAGGAGGTAGGGTATTCTCTCTCTCACTGTGTCTCCCCTCCCACCCTACCTCCAAAACGATCTAGCATGCCTTGACAAAGAACTGAACCCCGACCTGCTGTACCAAATTCAGTAGTACTGTCAGAAGTACTTGAAATGAAGGTAAAAGTACTGAATGGGCTAGTACTGACAAGGGTACTGCTTGTTATTGCAAAAACATACAGAAGAAAGCAGAAAATATAAAGAACAGGATAACATTGTGTGGATGCTGCTGACTCAGCATCCATCTGCTGTGAGAAACACTCTCTCCACACCGACTGTGCACACAGTACTGACAACAAAGAACATCCAGGCAGACATGGAAACAACTGCAGTGTTCTGTACAAGTTTTCTTACCGTAAGAAACACAGACGCCAGCAGCAAGATGACAGAATACACCAGTCCTTTATTATTTATTGAGACCTGTCGGGGAAAAAAAGGACATCACAATTTTATGTAGAAGCGAGAACCCGAAATCTCTGCTTTGATAACTCTTATACATGTGCATCAGTAAACCTGGACAATCACAAACAGAAGGAAAGTAAAGAGACTGGTATTGTGCATACTGATGATCCATAGTCCACCACAAGGGTACGCAGAGCCCAGGGGAAACCCAACCCGAGCAGGATGTCAAAGATATTGCTGCCTATGGAGTTGGAAACTGCCATGTCCCCCATGCCTGAAATGAGACAAGACAAGTGACAGAGAGCTGCTGAAATCAAGCACTTGTGCCACAAAGGAAGTATAATTAAAAGATTCATAATGAGCGTTTTGTTTTGGGTTTTTCTGACTACCTTGTCGAGCTACAATCAGACTTGCCATGCAGTCTGGCACACTGGTCCCTGCTGCCAGGAAGGTTATGCCCATGATGTAGTCTGGGATGTCTAGTGTGAAGCTGATGATGGTGACCTGATGGAAACATCAGGGAAAAGTATTCAGATGTAAACAGTTGAATGAGTTATATGGCTTGCACATATATTAACGACAGCAAGATCTTGACCTTTTATTAATTCATCATAATTTACAGTATACACACGGGGAGTATTTTAAGGTGGTGCATCCTCCAATAATCACTAGCTTCTGTTTTGTACTTAACATCTATGCATACCAGCGTGTAGATGTATATTACATCTATATTTAGTGGGTGAATACAAGGCATACTGTAGATAACAGTCCTATGACAGAGTCCTGCCCCCTTACCATCCACACCATGAGGTAGGAGAAGATGGCGATCCACAGGGTGGAGGCCACAAAGGTGACCATGAACCAGCGGTGCCAGCGTGGCAGGATACAGTTAGGCACAGTACAGTAAAGCAGGAGACCTAGAGGCCATGTGATCACCCACTTTACCCGCGCACCGCAGCCTCCTGTGAAGTGACAGAAGTCAGACCCATCAGAAGAATACATGGATTTAATCAGTCAAGTAAAAGTCAATTAACATAATATCAGAAACGAATCACTGCAGGATTGATCTTGCTTTCACTTGTGGCTGTTAACATATCTTCCTCACCTGGTATGCGGATGGGACTGAAAATCCCATCATCATCCTCTTCCTTCTCCCCTGGCTGGCACACCTCAACCCCAGTCTGGTCTCCCAGCTCTACATCTCGCATCCCAGGTGTCCCTCCTCCGTTCTCCAGACTGCAGGAGCCCGTCCTCTTCAGACTGTTGCTGGCTGAGCCCCCTCTTGACCCGGGACTGGCCTCCCCATCCTGCTGGCTCTTTGAACTCTGGATCAGCCTCTGTCTCTGTGAGAGGACAGCGGGAAGCTTTTGGTGCACAGCTCTAAGCCAACTGTGCTATATCATCTCATACGCATCTCACATACCTCACTGATGACCATGCGTCCTGCCATTGTTAGCCTGGTGCGGGGGGAGAAGTGAGGGGTGATCATAATACGCAGGCCAGCCTCAGAGAAGGAAAGTTTGTGGGGGTTGAGGATGAGGAGCTCATCCACCATGAGAACTGGAGGAGACTCCTCAGAATGAGCTTGGCCTGTGAAAGAGGTGCTGGCAATTAACACAAAATGAATAGCACTCTCCCCACTTTTTGAGACCCCTTATTTTGAAAGTCCCACATATGTTGAATCAGCTTGAACAGTAATGTCTTCTGACCTTTATTGAGAAGCACCATGGAGGTGTTGCAAGCGGAGGTGTCCTCTCCCATCTTGTCCTCTCTGTGGTCCTCTGACCGGAGGCAGCAGGGTCCAGTGCTACTGAACTGACTTGTCACAAATGCCAAAATTTGGGAGTTAAACCTGCAACCAAACAGATACTCGCTGTTTTGTTGCTGTTGTTTTGGTCCTCAGTCACAATTCAGACTGATGAAGGTGTCATGACTGAAATTCAGTGGTTTGGGACAGTAAAACTTACTTCATGATTATAATGTAAATTCCATACATAGTCATGAGAAGAATGGACTCCCACCTGCACAGCAAACAGTACATCGGTATTAATCAGTTTGTTTTCATTAAATATTTCACATCACAGATAACATGGATAATAAAGTTGAGGTAATCTTGTTTTAACCCTGAGTGTAAAGGCAGTGTCTGTAATGCCTTACGTCAATGTAAATGTGTGGATGACTTAAATACAACTTACTTCATTATTTATGATCTACATTATAGAGCCCAAGATTCCTTTTATTTCAGAAATGCATATTATAAATTATTTGTTAAATTCATATAGCATCACTTCACTTCTATGAACTAAGTTTTTGAAAATAAGACTTATAATAAGAGGAGTTTTGGTTATTTTTCATGAGAGATTTCTGCAATATGTCGACAGTTGTTGGGGTGTTTGCCCAGCTCTGATCATATCACACCCACACAGTCATGATGAAGTAGATTTGCTGGGTTTTTATGTTGTTGTTGTTGTTGAACTCCTGATAAATTGTACATGTACCTCAACATTTCTTTTCTGAATTTTATCTTTGATCACTGCTTACAGGTCATGAACATTTAGTCATAGAGAAATACTAGATAGCATAACTGGCGAACGAGCTCAGCTGTGTACGCCTGAAAACTTCCCAGCGAACTTCCCACACTGAACTCATGTATTATGCCTGGACAGATAGTAGATAACCGCTGCTACACATGTGCAGACTCATATCTCAGATATTCGGAGAATGCTGTGACTTGGCAAAGTCAGCTAAAACACATCTGTCAAAGCATGAGGTGGTGAGCTGAAATACAGCAGGCAGGCTTGACTTGGCACGCCGCAATTCAATAACAGTCAGCAATGTATCACTGACGAATCCACCGCTACAGCCGACATTAAGTTAGTGAATAAATCTAGTGTTCATTAAAACAACTGACTCTACTGTGGAAAGTTTCTTTTTTAAACAAAACCACCAGGTCAACAGAATAGAAAACATTTTCACAGCAGCTTAGAAATTAGGAAGGGCATCAGGAGCACTAAAACCTGAACCTGTTGCGAAGGAAAGGCTACACAAAAATCACTAACAGCTACTTCCAAATCATGCGAATGGCTGCCACTGATGTCAGATACCTCCTCCATACACATTAAACTCATTTTACAACAGATTTTTTCAAATCAGAAACCACATCGATTTTACGTGTTCCACAATCAATGGCTGTTGAACACCTTCATCTTCATGGCTATACAGTCATTTGAGGAAGAGACTGTGAGATCAGTTAGAACACGAAGGAGATAAGAATACAGACACTTACTGTAGGATTGTTTCTATGGAAATGTGATTATATGATGAGCACTGCTCGCTCTGTCAATGATGAATGTTATAAAAGTGTCAAACATAGTACGTACATTTTTATTGGATTGGGATTATTAGGAATTTGTTATTGTAAATATTCTTTAAAATGAACCTAAAAGTCAGCTTTTGCAAAGCTGGTGTGTGACATTGTTGGTAAGCAGAGCATTCTGCTGGACTGTCAAATTTACTCAGTCTAGACTAGCATCAGACTGGAGGCTGCGCTTTGTACAGCTTATCATAACCAGGCATCCATAGTTTAAGCAGGCACCAAGTCTCACTAGACCCTCTAGCAGCTGAAAAGAAATTAGAGTAGCCTGAACATAATCCGAGGTTTGTGGACTCACCAGACAACTCTGGCATCATAGATAACCTAGAGAGAGAATGAAACAGAGCATTTAAAACATGTTGTGGAAAAGCTCTGCACAGGTGGATTATTTTAATGAACAGCACATCTCACCAAGATGAGGGTCAGTACAGCAAGGATGTAGTAGGAGGAGTCTCTAAAAAGGGGCCACCATGTCAAAGCCACTATCTGTAGAGAACGGTTATAAATGTTAGTGTTCATTCTCAGTACATGTAAGATGGCTGTAAAAGTGTCAGATGGTTTTTCTACCTGGCCTGCAAAGATTCCACTCAGGCCTATGATGACCAGGATGTTGAAGACGGCAGAGCCCACGATCGTGCCGACTCCAACATCTCCTTTAGTAATGAAGACACCTGAGAGACAGAGAAACAGGACGGGAGTACAGGATGTTCAGCATCTGGCTTGGTTTGGTTTCAGATTAGATAAAAATCCCCTGTCATCGCCTTTTCTAACAGCTTATGTGGACTGTTGTACAGCCGCCTGGTGCTCTTATTCCACCCCCACCCACATTTGTTTTCATTCCTCATGGGGCTTTACTTGATTTACTTTAATTTCCCAGAGATTTACCCTAAACCCTTAAGCATAACTTGCCCAACCCTTACCCTATATCGCCCTAAAATTCTGTGATTTACACAGTGGGGATCACAAGGACAACTGAGTCCCCACAATGTGTGTGTGTAAACAGGTTTTGGTTCCCCCCAGTGTGATTAATACCAGATGAGCGTGCACACACGCTCATACATAAAGTACTCAGTAATCAGTTGTGTTTTTATTCTATATCAGCCTTATTTGTTTTTCTTCTCTGGTTTGAAGAATTTTGTGACAAATCTGTTGAAATCCAAATTAAAGAGACTGACAACATTGACTGACATATCACAAATTGAAAGAGTGAGATTTTTAAATCCTGTCAAAATGGTGGAGATTGTTTATGGTATTAAAACAATACTAGCCAGGGCTACAGAAGTTAATTTATATGAAGACTCTGCTGACATCTCCTGGATGACGTTGGCACTGTAGTGACTGAGAAAACAACCTGAAATTTCGAGCATTCCTTCATTTAATTGTTGTCAATAAGTGAAAACTGACTTTGACTTGTGCTCTCAAACCTGGCACTGCTGTTTTTTGGTCTTGGCTGGCTGAGCTACTAACCAATGAGAGAGGTGAAGAGCTCTGGAGCAGAGCTGCCTGCAGCCATGAATGTCGCCCCGGCCACATCTTCACTGAGCTGCAGGTTCTGGAAGATAAAAAAAACCAATATTAATAATAATAAAAATAAAATAACCAAAAAAAGACTTTTATTTGAATACAGATTGGTGCTCTCTTTCCTCACCTCAGATATTTTCTCTAGGGAAGGGACAAAGTAGTCATCACAGACTATGGCCAGAGCGTAGAACATGTAGATGGCCTGGAAAGTACAGATGAGTACAGATAAGAGTGGAAGTACACATACACTATACGTCCTGCCTTGTTACATAAAGGATAAGTTGTGTCACACCGTGGTTACCTCTGCCAAGGTGGAGGTCATGTTTTCACCGGCATTTGTCGGTTGGCTTGTTCACAGCATAACTCAGGAAGTAATGAAAGGATTCTGATGAAATGTTTAAGAGAGGGAGGGTATGGCCCACGAAACAATCCGTTAGATTTTGGTGCTGATCTGGCTCATCATTCAGACCCAGGAATTTTGAAAATGATTTTTCCCCATTGTGAGACAGGGCCAATTTCAATATTTGTGCTTCTAACTCCGTACACAGTGCCTAGAATACCTGGACATAAATTGCACAATAACATCCACATAAGCTCTTCCACACACCAAAGTCAGGAATCATATGATCAAGGTCAGACTATCATGGGAATCGTGGGAATAATGCTTTTAGGTGAAATGGCATTATGGTGGAGGTTTGCGCTGAGTGCTGTGTAGCTTGTAGTATATTTTGGCTTTTGCTTATGTCAGCATGATGAGTCAAAGACATAAATAAAGACAAATTATTCAGATTTCAGGTGATATTATGTGAAATACTCACACAGAGTGCATGAAGACACACAGCTCCCTTCTTTCGCTGCTCCTTGGTAAAGATGTCCTCTGGAAATTCATGGATGGCTGCGAGGGGACAGATGTGGTGATAAGTGTGCTCCCAACAAATCACGCATTTCAGTTTGTGAGTTCACTTGTTTAACTAAAAAAAAAAAAAAAAAGTCAATTCCATGATCAATTTACTTTACAAATGCATGAAAGCTATCATACTGCTTTTCTATGCACATAAGCACACTCAGAGCACTTTACATTATTTTGCCAATTCACCTCCTTCACATACAGGCACTCAAGATGGTGGCCACACTTCAGACTGGCGATACCGGAGGTGCCTGCTGTACCTCCTGAGCCACAGCCGCCCTATACTTTATGCCCTAAGATACAGTATAGTGTATACTGCAGGATCTATTTATACAGTAAAGCCCCATGGCCTTCAAAGCCTTCGATAGCATTTGACAACAGGGAATATGATGTTTCTCTTAAATTTGGAGAATAAATTACACAATAGTTTTTTTTTAACCAGATGAAATGTATTAAATTGATCCTGATTACTGCTGTAAAGCTTCATTTTTAAAGTATTGCCATCTTGCATTACATCCAGTCATTTCAAAATGAACTCAAAGATATAAAAACAAGATGTGGTTATACAGTATATTCTGTTATCGTCCTGTGTGACAGTTTCAAACAAACATGGTGCAAGCCATGACATCTTGCACTACGGAGTGAGGTGGAAGTGAAAGTGGTAGCTGCTTCCTGTCATTCCTCAAGTGTAAAAGAAAAAAACCTGTTAATGAGAGCGTAAGCGTCGTTCTGGTCCCTTGACATTTCAAAATAGAGCCTCGAGAGTGTCATGCAGCTCCAATTTACAACTCTGGGCCGAGCTGGATGTATTTAAACTACTGGGAAGCATGGAGCAATTTATAGCTCCTCTGCTGTGTGAGACAACAGTGGGTCCAAGCACAGAATGAGCACAGCCATAACAATGCACACCGCACCGCACCGCAGCTGCATGTCAACTGAACAACAGACTGTACAGATTAAGGGACGGTCTGTTCTAGGATACGAGACCTGATCTTTGACACTGCGATGTCAGAGTGAGAGAAGGAGACCATATGGTCCTGAGGAAGCGACAGTAATGTGACTATGTTCCTTTAGAAAATGTAAATGTTTGTGCAATAATGTTTACATGTTTGTGTCTGCCAGAGTGCAGCACTGCCTGCCTGCATGCTTACTATGACACAAACTGCTTCTTGTGCATCATTTTCAAGGCTTAGAGTTGAAGCGAGTTTCTGAACGTTTGCACAGCGCTGTCTGTTTTCTGCTCTCTTAGATGACTGTTTTCTTTGAGTGCCAGCTGTTCTTGCAGGGCACAGCTTGCCCACTAAATCATCAAGGCTTAGCATGTAAACTTTCTGTCATCTTATCGCACGGCACAGGGATCTTGAATGTGAAGCTGCACTGTATACATCCTTCTCAAGCAGCCTGGTAAGCTGATCAGCTGCTGGACATCTGTGCGCTTTCTGTGGCTTTACTTGCTTCACCTTCTGTTTCGCTCTCTCCGTTTTGTCTCAGAGTCTTGGAGGCCTTCCAGCCTCCTTCTGCACCACACCATAAACCCTCAGGTTATGCCTTCAGTGGAAACGCGGGGCTGCAACATGCAGCTTAGATGGACGCTTTCAGGAGTTGCTCTGGTGAAGGCAGTTGCTATGGTGACCCTCTCCCTGGGGGCACCTTTTTTTGGGGGGGTGGCAGTAGGAAGCCAGAGGCAAGGAAACTGCAGGAACAGCGAGAAAGGAGGAGGTGAATATGTGCTTCCCATGGTTAGGGTTTATGAAAAGTGAAAAAAGAGAAGTGACAGCAGCTCTGGACCGTAATGTCTAAAAATATTTATTTTTCCTTACAAACCCTCAGGAGAGGTCCGAGGGAGGGGGAAGGACGGCACAGAGACAGAAACAGTGCCCCGGTTTACTGAAGGCTGCTGGACAGGAATGTGCTTTGCCAAGAGTCTTATGCCAAGGTTTCATAACACAAAACCGCAAACTGAAACCCCAGGGTTAAAGATGATCGCACATGTGTAACTTCCCAAACTGGGGATTTAAGCCAGATGTGCCATCAGCTCAAAAAAGTCAGTAGTTTTGTAATCAGGAGCTGAGCAGCCAGCGTCAGTGAGTTCAGGGAAGATTCGGGCTATAGTATGGATGTTACTCGGACAATACAAGTGCTTCTGTGCTCAGGCCTACAGTCACTTCACTCCGTACTTTGTGCCTTTTTACTGGCAGAAACTGCGCCCACAACAACTGCACCTCTGATCTAGTTCTGGCCGTCACTGCAGCCCACATATCTACACAAGCTGAAGTACTCAAGAAGGGATCCACAAGTGTAAATAACTCCATATACTTCCTCAGCCCTGTCACAATTATCACACTCTAAACTGTGCCACGGCTTCTGTTCAAGCATAATGGACATTACTTCATGTAGACAGATGTGAGACGGCTGAATCACTAATGTTATCGGTCACTAAGTAGATGAGAAGGGTGAAACAGCAAAACAAGGAAAACGTTTCATTTATTAACCGAATCAAAGAAAGTGCTACATTATGACTTTAAGCCGCATCACTGCGTTATGAATTCTACAAACTTGAGCAGAGGCCGAACTGGACAACCATTTGGACAGGATGTCTTTTAGGTCCATTAGTAAGAAACTGTTACAACTGAAAGTATTCAGCAGACTTTACCACCATAAAACTAAAAAAATGAAAATACTAAACTTAGTTCCTTTGATGCATATGCTTTGGGAGTGTTGTGACATCACAAGGATTAAATAACAGAAGTCATTACAAATTTGACCTGAAAAACTTGGGCATAGTCTTAACAGGGAGCTAGATGTGTCTACCAAACAAGAGTTAAGTCAGGTAGATTATGTGTTTGTATTCACTAATATTTAAGACTTTTTTCTGGTTTTACTCATCAGCTGTCTAGCACATATAGCAGATTTTATACCAACCATAAAACATGTTTTAGTTCTGTGAAATTTGTCATGAAAAGACTAAATATTTTTAAACAAAACATGGTGATAAAGTACAACAGAAAACAATGCAGCAATTAAAAAAGGCCCTGAATAACGATTTTATGAACATGATCACCTGAGACACTGTTAGCGCAGGTTTGCTATATTGCTTCTGCTTTTAGCCCCAACACACTGAGCATCTGATAAAGAAAACTTTATTAGTTTAATTCACTACAATATTTATAGTAATTATAAAAGACTGTTGGCTATCTCAGCCTGCAGCGAGGTATTAACCTATTAGCGTGGTTGGTTACTTTGGTGCCATATTGATCACATCATTAATAATGACCAGCAACAATTTTAGCATTGATATTAGTTCTATCAAAAAGAGCAATCATTTCTGTGGTTGTTGCACAGGGTAGAAATGACACAGCCTTTCTTTCTTATACTGTATATGTATTGTATCTGAGTGCATATCAATAAAACTTCTGTGCAGATTAGAAGACACTGACGTGAGGAGCCAAGTTGTCTATAAGTCAGTCTGGGGGGTCTCGGTGTAGCTGACAGGCAGTAGGAGGAACAGAATAACGTTAGCAGTTTGAGAGTCTGCAGGGCGTCCTGGAGTCAAGCTACTGTATTGGCCGGCACACTGAGTACTGTCGTATTATGCGCTAACCAAACTGGCGCTGACCCGCGCACACAGACCAGGTGTGTAATGTAAATTCAATTATGCATTTGCACTTTGATGTGCTTTGCTTTGAGGCAGGTTGAATAAAGCGCTAATGAAATGGCAGCAGGGCTTCAAACCACACCAACCACCTTGACGATCAATAAAAAAAAACAATAGAAATCATGTAACGATATTGTAAAAGAACAAGAAAATAAAAACAGCTGGGGTTGTGTATCTTTATCCCTCTGTCTGGTCACACAACAACTTATCAGCTTCTTAAATGTTTGGTTGGGCTTTGTCTTTTCATAACTGCTTCATATTTTCCAAAACTTCACACGACTACAAATAATGGTCACACTAACTGCTGTTTTCTTTGTGTGGCATCCACAGTGTGACTGCTCTGATAAAAAGTCCAGAGCTGCTCCAAGACAATTTGTGTTAGATTATCTGCCAGATTTTCTTTCTCAACACTTTCCCAAAGACAAAAAAAAATGGCTGTGGAAAAACACTATTTTCAGCTGACTGTCTCTTGCCAAAATAAACAACATAACAAGCTTCAACAACACACACAGTATGAGCCATTTACTTCATTTACATAACTTAGATTCATACACCCACCCCTCCTTCATCTCTCCTCCATCTATTTTTAGTTCTCTGCTTTGCACTTTTAATGCCAGAATTGTCTGGGTTTCAAAATTTAGCATTCAGTTGCCTAGCAACAATGGTCTCCGAGGCTTCTCAGCTGAAAGCGGATCACACTGTCTCCATCTTATTAAGCGGTGGTGAGATAAAAAGAGAAAGAGAGTCTGTGGCTGGACGTTACTGTGCAATCCCCAAGATAATAACCTCCGAGGTCCGGGGCAGGCTTTTTAATCACACTGCAGATTATGTAATCACTGTCGGACGGTCTGCTGAGGAACAGGGCGGCAACGTGTGCCTGGAGACGTGCTCGCTGCTTTGTCATCCTACCTTGTCCAGTCTTTCCTTTGCCGCCCTGTCTCCAGTGTACTACCACAGCAAAGTATGATTGTGTCTTTATAAGAGATAATGAGGGAGATTTGTTTGCAACCAGGAATTCGGTAAAGGTTAAGTGTGTTTCAGCAAAACAAGTGGCTGCACAGAGCAAAGAGAGCACTGGTGGAGAGGTACTTATTATTTCTGCTCTCAAACATTGAAAAAAATATTCATCTTAGACGAGGGTGCCTGGTAGGTGCGAGTTCACTACAAATGACAGATCCCACATCTCTGATGTGTCCATGTCCACGCACCTCTCAAATAAAAATAATTTAATTATTTTTAACGTCACTGAGCTGTGGGATTCATTTCCCACACAAGATTATCAGCAGCTAGAACGGTTATTTAAGCCTAAAATGAGAGATTTGCTGATAAAATGAACAAAATTAAAAAATGGTCATAAAGACTGACCACAAGCAAGTATTGCTTGAATTCCAGCCTGGACGTTTGAAGTAAACGCATGCACTGATGCATTTCGTATGATCTTTGCATTTCAACTCTTCCATATAGCAGAAAAGCTGGTGCCACATGCACATTATTTAAACCTCTTAAATTAAGATGCCCTGACATGATGATCCTCATCTTACTGTGACAAAAGAAAGAAATGGGTCTTTGTGATGAGTTTCGCTGTTTTTTTTGTGCTGCCACATGCACACATCCTTCCACGCAGGAGATGGTAAGAAAATGTATTTCACTAAATATTGTGTGTTTAAATTCCACAGTGCACACGCTCAGTGAGCACAGTGCACTGCCGGTGGTGTTTAGCAGTGTGCTCTGAATGGACCATTTGCATGGTTTATTATTAGCACGGCATGATTTGCATACATTTCTGTGAGAATAAGCCTGAAATTTTGTATTCAGGTCTCAACAATAGCCCTGCAATTTGCATACAATACAACATAGTGACTGACAGTCTAATATTAGCACAGTCACAGAGCAAATGCAAATGATCTGAAGACAGAGAACTGTGCTCTGATAGTGAGGCCAAAGATTCTTCATTGTGAAGCCACGTTCATGTTTCTCCCCACACAACAATAGACGGATTTCCTCTCAAATCGACATTATTAATAATAAAACTGTCAGCTGTGATGAATGCAGCTCATGTCATCCAGCGAACTAATCAGCCTGGGAGCTGCAGAAATAAAGGTCTGATTACAGTTAGCGATTGGCAGCATGTTTCGGTAAAACAACTTCATGAAGAGCAGTTTGGATCTGTCCAAACTATTCAGGATGCAACCAGGGACGAAATGGAGGGTACCTCGGCATCTGCTAAAAAAAGACCACCTTAGAAAATCTAGTCTGACAGCATACTCTTAGGTGCTCCGTCTCTCTTCCTCAGTATTTCAGTGCACAAGCCTAATTACACTGCTCTTGACAGCACAATGCTTAGTCCGCATGACCTTGCAGATCACCTACTGGGGAGCGGCGGAAATCTCTGGTACTCTCCACCGTCACCGTTCACCTGCATACACCACGCACATGCACGTACAGCCACATGGTAGAAGTAGGGCATCGCTAAACCATTCCTGACTCCCTCTACATCTTCAAAATGCTCAAAATGATTTAGGCATTGGCAATATGATCATATACACCAAGTTAACAAAAAAGCCCTGCAATAAATGTGCAGATTTTACAGAGGATGTTTTAGAGTTTTGATTCATCTGTTTGGTGATTTTTGAGGATGTAGTTTGTGCTTCTGTCGAGTGATACTCCGCTGTAGAGAGGTGTTCCCCATCAAGATACATTTCCCACTAGTAACTTAACCTGAACCTAACCTTAGTCCAGCCCTGACCACTGAGGGGGACACTAAGGAAGCAGTTTGAACAGGGGATAAACGCTTCAACACAATAGTCAGTCGACATTTCAGTCAACTTCTTGCATTTCCCCCCCATTTGAACAACTACTTCAGGTACTCAATAAAACATTCTCTTGCTTCGTCGGTGTGATCGATTCCCCCCATATGAACAACTACTTCAGGTACTCGATAAAATATTCTCTTGCTTCGTCGGTGTGATCGATTTGTTCTGCCACAAAACGATGCAAATTGTAGGAATTCTGAGAGCTTGTGATAGTGCTGCCTACGTAGAAAATCACCTCCCGCCCTCCATCTGCGGTTCGCGCCACAGCAACACAGTGACGAGACATCACGTGCAAACAACCTATTCACAGTAAGAAACATACATTCAGCTTTGAGAAGAGATTAGATATATTATACATAAACATCATTGTAAATAGTACCACTACATGCACCAGTCTGACAGCTCAACATACTTGGCAATTAAAGCGGATTCTGATTATGTAATATTAGGAAGTGCTCCTATCTCCTTCCATGCTGAACCATAAGAAGTCAGCCTGCGGGGTGTTTCAGGTCTGTTCTAGAGGAACAGGGGAAGCATAGTGACTCACCTGCCCGGGGCTCCGTGCTCTGGTTGTCCGACTTCTCCTGCATCAGTCTGCGAGTCCAACGCAGCGTTGCACCATTCACGCCAGGCCGGAACCCAGAAGACTCTGTCTCTGTTACAAAACACCAGAGTTAGTGCTAAACCAGTCAACTGGACTTCAAAGATCTCCCACACCACTACCTCGGAGCTAAACCTTTAGAGTTTTAAATAATAAATACATTTTATTGATTTATATGTGGATTAGTTTTCTTTTAAAATGCTGTATTAATTAGTGGATCAACCAACACCAACTATTTTGATTATCTATTAACTAGTTCGGTCATTTCTCGAGCCAGCCTTCCTACTGTGAGGATTTCCTTGTCATTTATAAAACTAAACTGAAAATCACCATTTTCTAGGGCTCATGGTGACATCTTTCTAATTGCTTGTCTGACCAACTCAACACAACCAACGGTGTTCAACTGACCAAAAAAAAAAAACAACAAAGCAGCAAATCTTCAAATGTGACAAGGTAAGACCGACCATATCTTAGTTTGATGACTGACTTCAAACTGCTTGTCGTGATTCTTGACCATTTCCTGTTGATCAGCTGACCCCATTAATCGACTGTTTCAACAATCCTTTGAGCGCAGTCTTGACTTGTTTGCAATAAAAAGAAACAAAGACTCTCTGACTGAACTATAATAACTTAATACATTTCTGGTTTAAGTTTAAACATACAGTGCCTTGCGAAAGTATTCGGCCCCCTTGAACTTTGTGACCTTTTGCCACATTTCAGGCTTCAAACATAAAGATATAAAACTGTAATTTTTTGTGAAGAATCAACAACAAGTGGGACACAATCATGAAGTGGAACGAAATTTATTGGATATTTCAAACTTTTTTAACAAATAAAAAACTGAAAAATTGGGCGTGCAAAATTATTCAACCCCCTTAAGTTAATACGTTGTAGCGCCACCTTTTGCTGCGATTACAGCTGTAAATCGCTTGGGGTATGTCTCTATCAGTTTTGCACATCGAGAGACTGAAATTTTTGCCCATGCCTCCTTGCAAAACAGCTCGAGCTCAGTGAGGTTGGATGGAGAGCATTTGTGAACAGCAGTTTTCAGTTCTTTCCACAGATTCTCGATTGGATTCAGGTCTGGACTTTGACTTGACCATTCTAACACCTGGATATGTTTATTTGTGAACCATTCCATTGGAGATTTTGCTTTATGTTTTGGATCATTGTCTTGTTGGAAGACAAATCTCCGTCCCAGGCTCAGGTCTTTTGCAGACTCCATCAGGTTTCCTTCCAGAATGGTCCTGTATGTGGCTCCATCCATCTTCCCATCAATTTTAACCATCTTCCCTGTCCCTGCTAAAGAAAAGCAGGCCCAAACCATGATGCTGCCACCACCATGTTTGACAGTGGGGATGGTGTGTTCAGGGTGATGAGCTGTGTTGCTTTTACGCCAAACATAACATTTTGCATTGTTGCCAAAAAGTTCGATTTTGGTTTCATCTGACCAGAGCACCTTCTTCCACATGTTTGGTGTGTCTCCCAGGTGGCTTGTGGCAAACTTTAAACAACACTTTTTATGGATATCTTTAAGAAATGGCTTTCTTCTTGCCACTCTTCCATAAAGGCCAGATTTGTGCAGTATACGACTGATTGTTGTCCTATGGACAGAGTCTCCCACCTCAGCTGTAGATCTCTGCAGTTCATCCAGAGTGATCATGGGCCGCTTGGCTGCATCTCTGATCAGTCTTCTCCTTGTATGAGCTGAAAGTTTAGAGGGACGGCCAGGTCTTGGTAGATTTGCAGTGGTCTGATACTCCTTCCATTTCAATATTATCGCTTGCACAGTGCTCCTTGGGATGTTTAAAGCTTGGGAAATCTTTTTGTATCCAAATCCGGCTTTAAACTTCTCCACAACAGTATCTCGGACCTGCCTGGTGTGTTCCTTGTTCTTCATGATGCTCTCTGCGCTTTAAACGAACCTCTGAGACTATCACAGTGCAGGTGCATTTATACGGAGACTTGATTACACACAGGTGGATTCTATTTATCATCATTAGTCATTTAGGTCAACATTGGATCATTCAGAGATCCTCACTGAACTTCTGGAGAGAGTTTGCTGCACTGAAAGTAAAGGGGCTGAATAATTTTGCACGCCCAATTATTCAGTTTTTTATTTGTTAAAAAAGTTTGAAATATCCAATAAATTTCGTTCCACTTCATGATTGTGTCCCACTTGTTGTTGATTCTTCACAAAAAATTACAGTTTTATATCTTTATGTTTGAAGCCTGAAATGTGGCAAAAGGTCGCAAAGTTCAAGGGGGCCGAATACTTTCGCAAGGCACTGTATACACATCTTAAATTTTTTTTTTTTTTTAAATCATCCAAGTAGTTTTACATGTAGTATTTGTCTGCAGAGTTGTTCTCAAGTCAAGTCTCTGACTGTAGCCTCATGTTTCTGGCTGCAGACGACAGCATCACATTCAGTAACTCAGTCCATGCTGCCGTCAGTTGTCCTCGGCCATCGGCACTGAAATCTTTATTGTGTGTATTTCAGCCCTGGATCTCGTTCCTCATTATCTAATCTGTGGGTGGATTTCAGTGTTTACGACTTCACTAGGGTGACAGCCGAGGAACTCCCCACAGATAGTAGATCTCTACCATCATCGCTCTTAAGGGAAATAAAAACACAGACATCGTCCACTACCACCCACAGAGAACTTTCCACTAAGGGCCCCGAAGACACTGAGGCGGTTACTACGCTCTGTACTACACACTGCCCTTATATTTATGAGGCAGCTTGGTCTCTGTGTCTAATGCTTTTTGTGATCACCAGGCGCTGGAGCGTCCCTTTGTACCTTCCAGCTTTCACAAGGGCAGCGGTCGTGGCTGAGGAGCGAAGCAAAGTCTTTCATGTTGAGGCATCAAGAGGAGCTCGACTCATATGAAATTCAAAAAGGGTTTGTGCCACAGATGGCTCTGCAGCATTTTCACACACTAACTGGGAGATGCGTCCGACACCTACACCACGATTAGACTCATTAGAAAAAGGAGACTTTTTTTTAACAAATGTGACGGTTATTCTATTTATTTTCCAGACCCAGATTTTGATAACTATAGGCACAAACAACATGACAAGGGTTAGTGATGACAAAGTTATTCACCTACAAAGGCTGATGAAACAGACAGTACATCTGACAGAAATGACAAACATTCTCTGGTTCAGTTTCAAAAATGTAAAGATTGGCTAGTTTTTCTATTATAGGTCATTAACTTTTTGATTTTGGACGACTGGTCAAAAAGCAAGAGAAATCTGAGGACTTTACACAGGGCAACCTGAGTGGTTTACTGCTTTCTGACAATTTATTCATCGAAAAAAAAGAAATCAGCAGGTTAACCTTTAGTTAAAATAAGTGTTCGTTTCAACCCTAACACTGAGAAAGCAATGGCTCCCATTCAATATTCTTCAATTCTATTAGTTCTTATATATCTACAAGTTTAGGCTTTTGACAGCAATAAGATAAATAGACTAATACTACTTTGGAAAGGTGGGTGCCATTACATACTGCAGTTACTCTGACTCCTTTCCAGGCCATTATATCCTCCTGTAAGTTTGAGGTTCTAGCGTTGCTAATGTTGAACATGGTTCCGCCCCCCACACTAAGCTGTTTAGCTCACCCAGATCTTGTCGTGTGATCAGTTTAGTAGATGACAAACTGAACAACAGCCACACTCATGAGATACATGGAATTTGTTGTGTCACACGGTCTGTTATGCAAGTTCCTCGTCCACAGTTAAAAAAGGTGCAGAAAGCTGTTTTAAAGTGGACAGAAAAGGTCAACGCCTCCCACACTTTCTATGCACTTAGCCAAAGTGTCTTCACTCTGACTCTGACCTTTAACCTAGAAGCTGCTTATGCTTTTGGTGACCCATGGCGTTTAATCCACCCCTACTCTTAGTCATTATTCTTCTAGCTATAACTGTCTGTTACCGGCCTACAATGTAAACACAGAGAAGAGAGGTTACAGAAGGATCAATCATGAAAGCTGATTGTTTTATGAAAATATCCTAATCTACTACTGCATTGCTCAACATACCATACCATACATAAACACACAGGCTGCAGAAAGGTAACTGTAAATACCTTTGCTAGGTGTAAATGATGCAAATCATAATTCATATCTGAACACAACAGTACTGACTGTAGGGAACCTGCCACCTGTTTATCTTGTGACAATTATTCATGTTTTTTTTTTAGTACAGTACATGGACTGAAGAGAACAGCACCTATTTAGGTTTTTCAAGGCCTGAATGCCTATACTCCAAACAGGTTCACAGCCTCCAGTTTGTAGTCTGAGAAATTAAACGTCTCAGGAGACGTCTGGGAAATCCTCAGTGGTGACAACGCAGGCATTTCCATTTAGCAAACAATGCTTCAGAGCTCCGCTCTGACATTCAGACTGAACATTTTACAAGTGCCATGTTGCAGTAAACAAAGAACTGATGAACATTTGACTTGACCTTAAATGGGATCTAAACCACAGTTATGTAAATACAGCACAGACCACAGATTGTGTTATCCCTACGTACAGTTCTAATACTTTCACTAATCAAGACGCAACTGGCCATCTCCTTCTCCTGCTGCTGTTGTTTTTTTAGTTTGTAAGGTTCAACTGCCATAGTCTCCCTTTTTGAAAACAGCAAATTTAGCTTGATTTCACTTTTTATTTTCCAATACAAATACTGATATCACAGGGCTAAAAGTAAAGTCAATATGTGACTAACACAACACAAGTCCAAATGATGGCAATGTTGCCCATCGGTCACTCCAGGTTTAATGTTACAAACCTATTCATTCTAACTTTTCTCTTGTAAAACGACAGTTTTTTTTTCTGTTTGTCTATCCTGTGTGCTGCAAGGCATAATAATGGTATGGGACACACACACACACACACACACAGACATACACTCACACACACACACACGGGACATTCACGGGTCCAATGTTCTACTCGCTGATGCTGGTCTGAATTCATCACTTGCTTTCATCTTGCTGGTTAGTGAGGCTTAAAATGTTCAATTAAGTATTGAAACCCCACACAGAAAACAGTCCAGCACAATAAATCCAACAGATGCCTTTGTTATCAGTTCTGCTTTGCTGCTGTTTGTTTCTTCATTGTTTTCAACATTTGTTGCTCCAGAAAGTTTCTTCTCAGCCACTTTCTTTAAACATGTGGTGTGTACGTGTCAGAAGCTCGACTCAGACCAAACTTATTTCTTGTGATACTCAGCACAAAGTTGTTGTTTTTTTTTTTTACCGATACCTAGTGCTCAATCTGCATATCCATAAATGGCCATACAAGCAGTAGTGCTCAGGACACTGCAGCATGTGTAATATTTTCCAAGTATTGTGAGAATAACCTGCCTGTCGTCATTACAAACAACAGACTGCATGCTTTGGCCCTGCGCTTTTATATGGTTTAAGTGGCTTTGGTCTGAAAATAAAAAAGCCTCTTCTTGTTGATGCACAAGTGTAAAGACTGATGACACCACTCATTTACCTGTACACTCCTCGATGAAGGACTCCGTGTGGTACTAGGATAAAGCCTAAATGTGAATCTAACTATCCTGATAGAACAAAAAGTTGACTCATTCAGATTTTTATAACACACGCAGGATCACAGCTGAACGTGCTGCTGGTGAGTGCGTGTGACAGTGTGCAACCACATCAGCAAAGGTGAAGAGAGAATAATGAGATGGAGGGGGAGGGGGAGGGGATGGGTGATGCCTTTAGGAACAGTACACAGATGCTTTATTGTCCCATTTAGCAGCAAACTCAAGACAAATCCTCATTTTGACCATTAATGAATAATGGGTGCGTCTGGGAATTTTGCGTAAGGCAAAGGAAGTGGAGGAGTTCATGTGCGTAACCCGAGGTGGGTTACGCACATGAACTGTAAGGAAACCCAATGATTTGTGTGACATCCACTACACTACATGTCCTTTTATAGACGCATTGGACTCGCTGTGTCAAGTTTATTTTACCATGGGGACTCAGTGGGGAAATCAGGATTATGTCAATCAGACGTTGTGTATGGGATCGTGTCATATTGTGTACTGAATGGAATGATGGTTACTGTAAACAATGCAAGATAACTCAAATTTGTCTGTTATTTATCTATGTTTAATAATGATTTATTTACTCAAATGAAAAAGGCATTCTTTGCTACAGTGGCAGCCTGGGAATGGGCCAGCCAGTCTATTTAGGGACAATGCAAATACATCCACTAAAATGAATCCTTCACATGCCCAGTGATAAACAGTGGTTCTTCTGAGATGAAGATGAAAACAAGCCTGTGAATGCCTGGTGAATCTGCAGCAACCTATAACTGAACTTATCCCCAGTGACTGGATGTATACATGCCACAGATTGTGTGTTATGTAATCAAACTGTCACATTACTGCAGTTTAAAAAAAAAAAAAGAGAGAGAAATCATTGCCAGAAGAACGAACCTGAGGTTTGCAGTCACACTGGAGAAACTCAGTGCTGTCTAACACTGTAACTGGCAAAACCACACTTTGCTTCAACAATGTCACATTGCTGGAGATAATTAAATGCTATAATGATATCAATTCGAATTGTATTGATATTATGTTCTGGTGGAGAGCTTTGACACTTGCACAACAGACAGTTCATATCAATTCATATTTAGATCCAAGGCTGACAGAAGAAGACAGGCTACTGGATCTTTGGTCCAAGACCAGACAAAGATACATGATTTTCTGTGAATACATTGTGACCAGTGGTAGGTTTATGTACGTTTGAGAATGAAAATATGGTTTGTTTTTACATTTGCCCTTGATTTATGCATGGTTTCCATTTGTCACCACACACTACCAGTTAACTGTTATTTTCTTACGATATAATCTTAATATAGGAGATTATATATGATTAGCTATATGCTTAGTTATGTAGCCACATCCTAAAATGGGGGCTCCTAGCTGCATTTCATTCCTTAGGGAGAACACACATACAACCGTGTAAATTCAAACAGTGATTCGTGCACATGATGACCTGTTCTTAAAAACCTTGGTATATTTCTTTGCAGTGAATATATGCGTATAATCATGGTGCACGCACACAGGGGTGCGCAGCACAGCCTGCACGTCTGCGGTGTATTAAGGTCTCACCTGGCGTCTGGATGACCTGTGTGAGCCAAATGACGGCGACCAGCCCGACTCCACAGCAGCAGAACCGCTGGAAGGGCCGCCGGTGCCTCGCTGCTGCTTTCATTCCTCGGCCGGCCGCATATCCACTAAAAACATCTGTTGCTCTCTTGCTGACACTTGTTTCACACTTTCCCTGCGAGCAGTTCCGAGCGAACCACCTCCTCCAGCAGCAGCAACCGCAGCAAGCGACTTCTCTACCAAGTTGTGCCAAAAAAGATCCCCGCAGACAAGCCCCGGTTTTCCCCCTGCAGACTCGGAGAACACGCCGTACTGGTTCGCTCCGTCAGGCTTTCGGGTCGCACATAGCGAGTAAACGCGTGAAAAAGCTCCCTGCGTTCATGAGTAGAGCCTGAAAGGTCGACAGCAGATCCCACGGTGTGGTGCAGCAACAGGAGGCGACATGCTCTGATCCCCGTGCGCCTTCTCCCTCTCTCTCTCTCTGTCTCTCTCTCTCTCTCTCTCTCTGCTTACGCCAGTGTCACCACCAGGCGGCGACGAACTCTGGCTTCCATCTTCAAAAGAAATGGACAGAAATATGTGTGACACCTCCATATTGTCAAGCTTGTGGCCCTCAGCCATTCAAACACATGGCACAAGAGGTTCACGCATTAAAAATAACCCCCCCCCCCCTCTCACTGGTGTTTCCTTCTGATCCCGTCAACACTGCAAAGAGTTTTCCTTCTCTCTGTTCTCTGCCCACACCTGGTCGGCTCTTGATTGGCTGAACACACCTGATCTGGCTAATTAGAGCGCGGGAAGATGGACGATGCATGGGCGGATCCAGGCGTGGCCACAATCTGGTTGGCCATCCCCTGCCGGAGTGACGATAAAACAATGACAACATGTTACCTTAAATATAACTAACATTTTTCTGGTGCTTTATAATCGACATTGGTCAAATAATTTAAAACTAAAATTGGGCAAATGCAGCATAATACATCCATCCATCCATTATCTATACCACTTATTCCTAAATAGGGTAGCTGAGGGGATGAAGCCAACCCCAGCTGACATTGGGTGAGAGGCAGGGTACACCCTGGACAGGTCACCAGTCTGTCACAGGGCTGACATGTAGACAAACAAACCCACACGCTCAGACTCACTCCTAGGGGCCAATTTAGAGTCACCAATCAACCAAAGCTGCATGTCTTTGGACTGTGAGAGGAAGCTGGAGTACCCAAAGAGAACCCACGCAGGCACAGGGAGATGCAACATAATTGAACTGTGTTGTTGTGGAGTATTGGCATGACTCACTTCAGTGGGGGGGTGGGACCACTGTGCAGCAGCAATGTCCCCAGCAAGGAGTAAACAAGGAGTGCAGCCAATGTTAGCCTAAAAAAGAACTGTGTAGGGGTTCAGTTTACTTTATACCTGTATTTCAAATGTGCCAGCCCTCTCTGAGTCTGTGCACAATCCTGGCCACCCCATACAAAATTTTCTAGATCCACTCCTGGAAAGATAAGCAGTTCTGGAGCTCAGAGTGGGCGCCACTAAATGTCTTACATTATCACAAATAATCAGTTTCACATACAATAAGTCCTTCATAACATCCATCATAACACAACATAAACAATTTAAAGTGTGTATGAAATATTTGACTTTGTTCAAATAGCAATACAAAGTAATGCAGGATGACTAAGTGTACATGACGTGTAGATAAGGTGTTCAGCAGTCCAACAGCCTGGGGAAGACATTCTGGTGTTGTTTATTGACTATGGTATCTCCGTCAACACAGCACTGGGTCAGATTGGGTCAGTGAGAGAGGTAGAAATAGTTCTTGTTCATGTCGGAGGCCTTTTGTAAATGCTCTCACTAGATGTCCTGGAGAGGGGGACCCCAATTATTCTCCCAGCTGTCCTCATCACAGGGTCTTAACAGCCTGATTCACTACAGTTTCCAGTCCAGATAGTGTTGCATTTGGTCAAGACACTCTCTACAGTGCCCTGATTGAAGGTGAAGAGGGTCATAAAGTTGCAGCTTATTGCATGAAGTTGCATTCTAATGTGCAGGTGTCCACCCTCTGCAGGCTGCACCCAGCAGGTGGAGATTTTGAAGCTTCCCTACCCCTGTGAGCTCCTCACTGACAGCTTACTGAGTTTACAGTGTCGTATAACAGAACAATCTGGGGTGAGATGGCTTTAATATTATTCATTCAACATCAAACTTTGGAATGATTATTCACTTGTACTATGTTGAGGAAATTAGATTTGAAGCAAGGGAGAAAAAAGGGAAATGGGCTGAAATGGGCTAAAACGTATGTTCTATGTCCCACTAATCCACAGTTGCTTTCTCTTTGCATTGTTTGATACAGACTAAAAGTAGAGGGGGCAGCCCTGTGTCTGTGAGGGACTACTTTCCACATGAAGGCCTTCCAGAAGCAGGGTTAAGATTAAGTGACAGTTCTGTAAAACTGTCTGCTAATAATCCACCCTGCCACTTTCCCAGAAACATACACAAACCCTTTCTGTGTAAAAGTGAATGTACTGTACAGTAGAGGTAGTCTGGTTAATGTCATCTATTAAAAATTAAGACCTTAAAAAAGGCAGATGTTCACCTTAGTAAAATGAAATAAAAAAAGGTGAAACACTAGTAAGCCTGCAGTGGCCTGGTGCTGTTTATTCTTTAATGTTTAACTCTGACATGGGGGCAGGACTGAATCATTTATCAGACTTTCACGGGTTGCTGTATGAGTTGCATCCATTATTAACAGACTGCATGTTTTACTGTACAAAACAGTTTCACAGAAACGTGTTAAACATGTTTGATTAGAACAACAATGCAACACAGAACCTCAGCTTTTAAAGTGTTGAAGTGTTTGAAGAGTTTGTTAAAATTTATACCAGTATTGATTTTGTTTAAAAATGTACTAAAACTAAACTTTTAGTATTTTTCGAAAATTTGATTTCCTTTCATTTTAATTCCATGTTAAACTAGATCAAATAAACTATTGGGTGTATTTCTAAACATTAGATGACCTCTTAGACCTTACATCTGTAGATGTGTATCATTTATCACACTTGTGAAATCTGATCCATATACTATAAGTGACGTCTCACTGATGGCGGGAACACAGCAACGATGTTGCGGACTGACTCCCATCTACTTGTTTATGGGACGACAGTGGCCAGGCCATTTAAAATACAATATACTGTACACCCCTGTGGACCAGAACTTTAAACACACGCACACGCCAGAACAAGGCGTCTGTATTTACGGAATAAGGATGAGTCAAACTGGCCTTAAGCCCTTGGACTGTGTGAGACACACAGACCCTAGTGATGACTCCGTCCTGCGCTCCAACCCAAATAAAGACATAGGCCGGCGCATTGTTGTCATTAGTTGTCCTCCTGGCATCAGGAAAGAGAAGATAAAGCATTTTTCTGCAGCTGGTGTTTAGGAAATCCTTCCAGAGGATAGAGTCCTGGGAAATGTTTGTGGGATGTTGTTGTGCTGTCAAATGATCACAGAACAAGCTTTGGAAAGTGTATTTGTCTAAAATCATGCGGTTTCAATTGAGGGAAATAAGAATGTGTATCAGTCAGGACTTCAAAATTGTGAACATCTGTGTACGATATGGAAGTTGTTGAAGATACAGATAAGATTAAAATGTGTTTTTTTAAAGCCATGCTAGCAACGTGGCTCTGTGTTGGTCTGTCAGTCCAACCTGAAATGTCTCAACACTTATTTGATGGATTGATACGTGGTAAAGAAACATGAATGAAACATGAATCCGGTGACTTTAGTGATCTCTTGATGTTTCCTCTAGTGCACAAGGAGCTTGAGATAGGTGGCTTTGAGTGAAACATCCCATCAGCCTCAGATGAATTAGTGTTTAGTGCTAATGAGGAAATGTTAGCATGTTAAACTAAAGCGACCATTATAATTACTCTATTAGTAGTCTTGTTTGCTTGAATGCATTTTGTGTAAAACAGATATCACATATTATGGCAAATGAACCTAATAAACATAATGAAAGTGTGATTATAGTTTAATGATTTCAAAGCATGAACCAGATTAAACTGAAGACATTCTATTGTTTTCTCTGTCAGCATTTTTTAGCTCCCTGAGGGAGTTTAACTGACTGAGAATATCTTGACAAACAAACAAAGCTGCATCATGTCTCAACAGCTATTATATCAGTTTGGTGGAGTTTCGGGACCGAGCTTGTCACCACGCTGTGCTTACTCAGCAGATCTAAATGACAAACAGGAAGTTAGACTGCTGCAGAGCTTCCATTTTTAAAATACTGCTAAACTTACTGAAAGGCAATACATGAATTTACAGCCCGCCTATAATACCTTGTAATTCTCAGCATCAAACGCTCTTGCTGACAATGTTTAAGCCTCAATAGCAATGAATTCCTTCAAAAACAAAGCCAGGTCATTCAGACAGATATTGCTGGTTAATGAGCTTTAAGAAGTTTTCCATGTGCCATGCAGCAGCCACAGGGATCAGATTTAGAATGTGATGTGGTTTGACTGGGAAGAGATGAGTGGTTTTAATCCTGGTTCTCAGAACCACCGGGTTTCATTTCAGCTGTAGGACTAGTTTACACCTGGAACCAAACCACAAATAACCAGCCTGTAAGACTTGCCATATTCTGGACCCAGAGAACTCTGAAACAAAATACATACAGTTAGTAGGTGGCAGTTTATTATTAGACTTCCCCAAATACATATTGTGTCTTTCCCGATGCCACACAGGTTCTTGTTTGCAGATTTAACTTGCAGTGTAAATGCAGATCTAAGATAAAAGCAAATGATTTCTAAAAGGAAAGCCTTTCCCTTTATTCATGTATGTTGCCTCATGTTTAAAGCCTGCTCGTTTCCACACAGATGCAGTAAGTTTATTTAGATTTGGACATATCTGTGCTCGTTTTTCCCACTTCATCGACTGACTGGAACATTCAGTTCTTTTCAGTAAATCTGATTTGGCTGTAACCTCTGACAGCAATCATCTTGTTGCTCTGAGTCCTTGAAACAGTTTCTTCCTGGGATGCTTCCATCTGTTGCTTCAGCTCTGTTTCATCTCCACCTCCTGCGCTCATCCAAGTCAGGTCCAGGACATGAACTTGTCATCAGTTTGACAAATTCACCCGCCTCTTCCAGCAAACATCTGAATCTCTGCAGCCACCTGAGTCATTGCTAGGGCTTCACCACTGTCTACTTTCTGTTGATTCCATCATGAGTTTACATCTCATGAAGTTTGTAGATTAACAACAGGAACCAAATAACAGTTCTCCCTCAGTTTTTACCTTTTTTTCTTTAAGTTTCTTATTTCTATTATTTTCTGTTTCTTATTGTCTTGCATTTCCAGATTAGGTCAAGTACGTGAAGCATATGACACCTGAATTATTGCAGATCCCCCCTTTATCCTTTTTAGGCAATTCAGGAACATCCAGCTTTTTAAATACTCAATTGGATTTTCTGAGACAGTTTATTTTTAAATATTTAAATACCAAAATAATCCTCCCTTGGGGGAAGCAGTGAACACATTCCTTTACATTTAAACTTGATTTCAATGCACCGTCAGTCATTTTAAGCACATTTTTCCTTTTAATTCATTTTTAAAAATCATATATTTGCAGTTCTTTTAACAATCAGTGGTACTCATAGATCTGTAAACCTTCAGTGTGGCATCACATCAACAACAATACACATCTATTATTATCTGTTCTTTTTGATGGTGTCTCACCCAATGATTTTTGCTCATACAGCGGAAGAAAGACCAGATGTTGTGATGGTCTCTTAGAAAATCCTTCAGCTGCCACACACACACACACAAAAACCTTGGTAAGTGCAACCAAAGACAAAAGACTGAGATCACTAAACTGGGTTAACATACATTACATTTTCAGGTAGGCATAAAGTCAGAGAACAAAGCCTTCACATAACACCAGTATGACCAGTTTGGACCACCCATTCTGACAGAGTTTCACTCATTAAGTACCTAATGGTGTTTTGAGACCTTATTAAACATGTAAGAACTATAGCTGAAAAAACTCAATACTAGATTAATAAGAATCACAGTCCCATTAAACGAGAGTTGTATTTTGTCATATCATGGTTGTTGGTTTCTACAAAAAAAAAAAAAAAAATTCCCAAGCCCGCCTTTCCTTGCTGCCCCATTTCACATTTTTCCTTATGACTTTCCTCCAGTTTTAACAGCTACAAGAAAATCCACATTTGCATGATTAATAAGTTACATTTTTATACATACACAGATACAGAGGGGGGGCTTGGAAGTTGCTTGGCACATTCTCATGCTTGACCAACCTCCTACAATCTAAATAACTGTACAGGACACAGTAAAAGAGGTCATCTCACACCGGTGTCTCCCTGTTCAATCAAGAGGCTTCAGCATGTACAGGAGATGGAACAGGAGCCTGTACGGCCACGATGAACACTTGTCTGCATAATCATCCTGCAAAAGGATGGCATACACAACCCCAATGCACTAAGTAACATTGAACAGCTCAGCTGTACATACAGTATCTTCACATACTGATAAGGTTTAGATTCATAATTTAATCTGTATATACTGTATCTTAATATGCTGGTACCAGGTATTCACAGTGACTCTAAAATAAAATTACAAGAGGAAGTTTGTACAAGAAACAAGAGAGTATGAGTGACCGGACAACATTTGGCATCCCTTCTTTTGGAGTTCAGAGTTTGCAGTTGTGAGTTCAGTTTGTGGTTGAGTCAGTTCTGGTTGATTTCGGTGCTGCCGGGCTTTTTGTTGGCACTGAGGAGAAGCAGTCCAACTCCTGAACACTCATTTGATAATGGCGCCATCAGCAGTGGACACAAAAAAAGGTGAGGTAAGGTGGTGTCAGGGGGGATGAGATCTTATCCACCTTCTTTTTATGTTGAGCAAGACATAACTTGGACAGACTAAATAAAGTACAGTATGTGCCCTCTCTAGTGCCGATTTTACAAAAAATAAAAAGTGCAAAAATGACATGGAAACACACAGACACACATCAGGGTGGAATGGTAAGATTTCACCTACTGTCCTTACCACTGCTGCTCATAAATCATACTAATCAATTACTCAAAATAGTCACTGAGGACATCTGTCAAACAGAAAACACATTTAAATACAATATGCTGTATTTCACTATTAGTTCAAGGTGTTTTTTTCACACACCTAAAGCTATTTTGCCAGCTGAAAGAAAAGCTGCCTTTTGGCATTTTGTGTTTCAGGCCAGCAGGAGGAGATCTTCTACAGTATGGCTGCTACAATATTGAGGTTAGAAGAAAACAGCTACAGGCAGTAGCAGAGGGAAGTCGAAGCAGTTCTTGCTGCCATCGTGTGTGTCTTCAGGGGAGGTATCCCTTTATTACCAGTTTCATACACACTTCGAGAATGAACAAGCATGCTCAGTTCAGTGTTGCCCCCCCCCATTTTGTCTCTTAATTTATGGGTTTAATTGTCTCTGCCTAATAACTCCAGAGGTTTTTAAATACAGTACTGCTGAGAAGTGAAGAGGGCAGACAATGATGTCCTTATGTAACAGACCTTGCTCTGAGGTGAGTTAGTTAGCATCATTTCAGGTGTGTCATTGTCATCTTCTTTTTCTTTCTTGTTTTATTTTGAGGCCTTCCACACTAGCAGTGCCTGGCAGAGTTACTCTCAGATGTCGCAACTACACATCTGGCAGAGAAGATAGCAATACTACTGTTCACACACGCACACACACGCACACACACTCACTTTGTTGGTCATTTTGTATAGCACACCACCAAACATGGTATCCAGTGTTTCAATGTCTCACTGTCTTAATTGCCACTTTTTATGCAAGTGCTATTCACAACCAGTTTGTCAAGTATTTGAAGCAAGGTACAGTAAAAGATGCACACTTACAGACACATCCTGGGTCACATACACACACACACACACACACACACACACACACACACACACACACACACACACACCAAAAGAAGCACTCTGGCATAGTACACCAGCACAACAGCCTGAGCGCTACACAAGGATCAGTCTATGAAGGTGACAGGATGTTGAAAATGTCTTTTTTTTTTTTTTTTTTTGTTAAATCGGTCGATTTGCATACTCCCTCACCAGCAGGCAGGTCCAGGATTCAGGACAGAGTGTTGCAATGCACAGACTGAAGAGCACAGCTGTGATGTTTGAACCAAATAAGTGGGCTGAGTGTAAAAGAGCGCTGTACAATTTGCATCTTGCTGCTGATTTGTGTGTTTGTGCGTGCAGTGGTGAAGTTAACAGGGCTTGTTGACGTTGCACAGCAGCTCTGTGACTTTGATGAGGCGGGCCACTGTGCTCTGCGACTCCTCCTGCAACCGCTGGTTGTTCTGCCTGAGGCTCTGCACCTCGGCCTGCAGCATCGCCTTGTCCTCTTTCTCCTTAAAGACATCAGCACACAACAAAACCAAAGCTGTTGGTCAGATCGTTGTGGCAGGCATAGGAGGGGAGTGAGAGGCACAGGGGTAGCACTAAGGAAACTAGTGGGCACACAGAGACACTTCCTCTGAGGAAGAATAAACTCATAGTCCTTAACAGTGTAGAAACATTTAGTTACTAAACTGACCATGTTTGACACCTGATTTTTTTTTCCACATTTATCAGATAAAACCATTGAACATTTTCTGCCTTTTCACTTATTCATATCATTTATTAAAATCAGTGCCTTAAGGGCTGCTGGTCAGACTAAGCAAGCTAATCGCTTACAGTGAGTAGGGCTGCAACTAAATCATATTTTAGTCATTGAATAACCTGACAATTATTTTTCAGTTAACAGTTCCATGAATCAATTGTCAAAAATAGTGGAAAATTACAATCCCAGTTTCCCAGAGTCTTGGATGATGTCTTCAAATTGCATGTTTTGTCCAACAAACAGTCCAAAACGTGAACATATTCACTTTACAACCATATAAAAGAGAGAAAAGTAGCAAGTCCACACATTTGAAAAACTGGAACATAAATAAATGAAAGATTATCAAAACTGCTGTTGATGCCTTTTATGTCAATAAAGTAATCAGCTATTTGTTTCAGCACTGAACATTTTTTAATCATTATTCTTGAAAGTTCATAGACTAAATTGTCTTACAGTATACTTAAATACTTTTCTACATATTGTAGCACGCTCAAAGTGCTTTACACTGTTTCACATTCATCCATTTGCACACACATTTACACACCAGTGATATCATTGGGAGCGACTAGAGGTTCAGTGTCTTCAAGGACACTTCAACACATGGGCTGGAGGAGCCGGGGATCGAACCGCCGACACTATGGTTAAAGGATGACCCGCTCTGCCTCCTGAGTCACAGCTGCCCCAATGAATAAATGATTTACTGATTAGAAAAATATCCATTAGTTGAAAAGATAATGAGAATGTTGCAGTCCTAATCATGGATGTAAAAAAGCTTAATACACACATTACTGGGATAAAGATCATGCTTTGTAAATGAAGAAACATAGAGTATTGACAAAAACACTCAACACAAGCTCCACTTGTCTGTAGTTAACTCTATTCACTGAGGAAGACCATGAGATGTGACTGACAGCTTTGGAAATACAGGTGGAGTTAAAGCTACAGCATGTAACTTAAGGTAGTGCTAGCATGAAAATCCAAATCAATCCGCTCTGCTCCGCCCAGCACTCCCTCTCCCTGCTCCGCTATACTTTGCCCAGCTCCTCAGATATTTGTCATTATGATATTACAAGACATGACAATGCAACAAAGCAGAACTGTCAATCCCGCTCAAAACCTTTTAGCAGCTGTTCAGTGACTCTGAGTCAGAGGAGGCTTTGACAACACCTCTCCACATTAAGACAAGTTTGGAGCAGATTTCTACAACAAAAATATTTGGAAAAAGTTACAAGTTACATACTGTAGCTTTAAGAGTTAGGTGTTAAGAATATTTATTTTATAAAGCTGCTGATTCCAAGGCCAAGAGTAAGGCTGTGAGTCAATCACATACAGCATTCTTTCATATCTATGTAAAACAAACATAACTGTTATGTTTAGTAATGCAAACTATTAGAAATCATTAAACATTCATGACAGTCAAAGCACCTTTTGCAGGTCATCCTGTAGCTTCTTCAGCATGGCCTCCAGCTGCGATACCTTCTCCTCTAGGTGGCCTGGAGAGTCACTGCAACAAAGAGAAGCATTAAACACAAACGCAGTTACACAGTCTTCTGGTTTTTTTTTTTTAAAAATGTGTAAGGACAAATCAAAGCATCAATATGGCTTAATTTCCAAACCAACAAATCAATAAGTTACATGTCCTCCCTTGTATTAGCTGCATCTTAAATCATTTTCTTGCTCTTCTCTTGCACGACAAAGTACTCCTATAACAACGCATCCCTTCATCTCATACACCGTGAACCTTTTACTCTGGTGGCCTCAGAGGCATCGTCTCTGCTGTCTTTAATGGAACCAGTAATACTGAGAGACATCAAATTACAATAATTTGTATGGCTGACAAGCTGAGCTACTCTGAGTGTAGTCATCGCATGACGCATGTAGCGTGACTGCAGTTATACATAATGACAATGCCCTACAGAGTCCTGGTGATGTGCAAAGCATGACAATGCTTTTAAAGAAAAATGCTGTATTTTCAGTGTAATGATTAATGATATGGCTGCACATTGTATCTCTAGCCAAGAGTGCTACATAGTGAGTGCTACATGTATGTGAGGACAGGCTCGGCAGTTTGCTTTTTGTTGAGGTCACCAAACGTAACTTGTATTTCTCTCAGTTTCTCAACTGGTATGAACTGAAAAATTGACCAAAAAAAAGATTCTTTGATTGACATTTTGAAGTTGTGCAGTGGGTAGCACTGTCACTTCACAGCAAGAAGATTCTGGGTTTGAACCTTGTGGCTGACTGCGGCCTTTCTATGTGGAGTTGGCATGTTTTTTTACATCCGTTTTCTGCTTTTGACCAACAGATTTGTGGACCTTATACATTCAGACGCAGCAGCAGTCACCACGGAGCTGGGAATTGTATGAAGAATAAAATGGATTGGCAGTTATACAGTAGGATGACAGCAACAGTGAGTCAGACACTCTGTGTTTGTGCATCACTGAGTCAGTCTCTGTATGGGGGAGAGAAACCACCACATTGACTCAAAGAGTTGGATGTAACCTAAATAAGTGGGAAAGAATAAAGGAGAAGAGGGAGAAGTTCAATTACTCAAGCAAAGAAAACCAGGAGACAGAATACAGAGGTATGGAACAAACAGCATCACCCTGTATATGCTGTAAACTTATTACATATTAGTGGGTACAAAGTGATGGGTAAATGTTGGGTTAATAAGTTAAATTTACCCATGTAGAACCCATGGGTAGACAATCACCAAAGGCCATGAGCTGTTTTGATCCACTGACCCAGTGGTTTATATATATATATATATATTAAACACCATCACTGGGTCACACTGGTAAAGTTGATCCAGTACTGTGTCGGCGCTATATTGACCTCACAACTGGCACAATTTTAACCCAGTGATTTTCTTGTGAGCAGCAACCCACCTCTCCTTTGAATCTTTCAGCTTGCTGTCAGTCTGGTCAGCTCCTCCTTGGGAGGGGTCTCCAGCTTTTCGGTCTGTGATAAGGAACATTATGTGCATTATTTAAAACAGCCATATGTAAAATAATCAAAAGTAAAGATGAGGGATTGAACTTAGAGCCATGTATAAACTTCTTAAACTACTCTTCATGCTCAAAAAGTCCTCTCACTTTTTTCAGTATACATGAAAATGTGTTGACCACCTGAAAAAAAAATTTGCCATTAAGGACAGAGCACTGGATTGGTTTTGTTCTTGTGTTTATGAACATGCTAAGCTCATAACAAACACCAGGAAATCACGTCACATCACACCTTCTGGCATGTTTGCGTTGGCTTCCTGTCAGCTTTAGAATCAATTTTAAGATCCTTCCTATAATTTTTAAGGGTTTACATGGTGAAGCCCCTGGTTACATTGCTTACATGTTAATTCCTTGGACAGGGGTTTAGTAGTTGTTCCAGTCTCTAGCTTTATCACTAAAGGAGACCAGGCCTTTTAGGTCTGTGCGACTCAGCTTTGGAACTTCCTGCCTGAAAACATTGGGTGAGCAAACTGTGACTCTCTTGTGACTGTGCTAACCACTAAGACAGCTTGATGTATTATTTTACATTTATTGAATAAATATCTAGTCAGTGAGGTGTGCATTTACAAACAGCCCCTCACCCTCTCGTGACAAAGCCTCCAGGATGCTACGGCAGGCTGTGGCCAGATCAGCGATGGACTGCCACTCCTCCTCAGTTGAATCTGTTGTCTCTGAGAGAACTGAAGAAAAGAGGTTGGGATTTGTCAAATGGATCATGTTTCCATTATAAACACATGTCGCTGTAACAAATGAGTATAAAGTAGCTGGGATCATATAGCAGAACAGTGAGACCGTAGACATTTGTGAGCAGCCAGATCCACTGGTTCCACAGTAACAAACAGCCACCACTGGGGGACGCTGCTGTGTTAACGCAGGTCACATTCAGAAGGAGGGTTTGCAAGGACAAAGAGGAAATGTTATGATGTAGTGTGCCTGCAGGTTTCACTGAATTATATCTCTGACTTTTTAAAGATCTTTTTAACACCAGTGACAATGAAATTTAAGGCAGCATACAACTATGTACAGTATGAATAAATTGTAAGACAACTGGCTAAATATCATCTGAATAAATGTAAATCTTTGCATGGGAATTTAATAAAAACACGACAAATGTCATTTAAAAAAAATGACAAATGGTTCCTGTTTATAATTTATTAAAGCCTTTTATTTTATCATTTACTGTAAAAATCTGTGACTTCCTGTGACAGAAGGTTATGTAAAACAATCAGAGGCTTCAGAAGCCACCGCCACAAAAATCAGAAGAATGTGATGGATTTGAGAGGATGAGCAAGTGTGCTCTTATGACGGTTAAATGATGAGGCCCATAGTCTCAGTGGAGGCAGAGCAGATGGTGTAAGAGGGGATCCTTGATTTTGGGCTGTCTCAAGCTCCACCCCTCCCACTACCCATCTGTCTCTCTTTTATCCCGGCCCTGGCAGGGGGTGGCAGCAGAGCAGGGGTGATATTAGATTAGCGGAATAGAGGGCAGCATGGATGAAAGAGGAGGGACAAAGGGGATACAGTGGGAAGCAGGGGAAGGATAATGCAGAGAGAGGTGTAAGGCAGAAATATAATCTGGATAAAAGGAATCTGAGGCTCAAATCAGGTCGAGATGATTTACAAACATATGTAATTGTCACACCTTGGCACCACTGGAGCAGTCTTGTCAGCTGTTTGAGAAAGGAGCGCTGTAATACCTCTGTATGCTCTTAGTCCCCTATTTTATTTTTCATGCTTCTTATAATCTTTTCTCTTCAACAAATATAACTTAAACATGTATTAATATTGATATTTTAATGCCAATATGTGGATTTCAAGTGTAATTTTAAAAATCTGCAGGAATAGAGAAGTACTAACTCTTGGTGATGGAGTTATGAAGACTCAGGGCTCTTGAATTTCTTTCAGCTCGGTCTGCACATGACAACCGGGAAGACGAGAGAGAGGAGTCACTCACTGAAGCTTTGTCATCACCAAACTCTGCCCCCATGAACTGAAGACAAGACAGAGATAAAAGAGGAAACAATGCTGTCAGAGAGGAGATGGAGTGTTGGAGGAGAAACCGCTCGGACATCCTTCTGTCTGATTCTGTCACCTGTTCATCCTCCAGTGGAACCTTGGGTTTGACAGCCAGGATCAGGTCAGGTGTGGCATCTCTCAGCTCCCCGACGTTTTCATAAATGTGGCGCTCCACCTTGCGCTCCACATTTTCATACACATGCCTGTTCGCCGGGTGCAGAGGGAAAGGGTGTGGTTGTGAAAACACAAAGCAAATCTGCTGTTGGTGCTTTCTGACATCTTATATCTAATCCACAGGTCAAAACAGAAACTGGAGCGCTCAGTCAGGTAATCATCAGGACGGCTTAGGTTTGGCCTGACTGACGTTTGTAATCCTGCACTCAAGAATTTAATATCTGATGCAGTTCATTCAAATTATTAAGTTCTGATTTAAGGATCAGCAGAGTTTAATATTATCATGGATATTTCCTTTAAGCGGATGTGCCTTTCTGGAGTGTGCTGCCAGTTATCTCTGTATGGCAGACACACATGTGATGCTGCCGTTATATTTGTGTTTTTCTCTCCCCTTTGAGCTCAATACTTGGCAAACATCATGACTATCAGGCGGGAGTCTTGATACTCGAGGATATGGAAATGCAGAGCGCACAGTGCAGATCATAACGTCGGTATTCTAACTTGTATGCTTATTAACATAAATGTATACTTTTTACATAGAATAAAGATCTACCGCACAACCATCCAAATACTTATGTGCTAGACTTTGAAGGTGGAGTCATTAAAGAGGGCGACACAATGGTTGGTGTCCCTTCTTGGCTTTGAGATTTAATTGTCACATATCAGCTTTAATCTGGGGGCATTTTCAGCCATGTTGGATGGTCTGATGCTCTCCTATATTGCACGCGTATCTATATAGATTATTGCATTTCACAAGGCAGCATGTCTTGTTATTTTTAAAACAACAGTTATCCTTTTCTCTATAATGTTTCTGAAACACTACAGGTTATTATGACACCTTAAATGAACAGTAACACTCACCCATCACATGCCTCCCTGTAAGACGGCTGTCTCTCCAAAGAGTAGCTACGTGTGAGCTGCAGAGCGCGGCCCTCCAGGCTCCGATTGGCTGGTTGGTCTTGCAGCGAAGTGGCTCGTGACAAAGGTAGGCTCGGTGGCATGAGAAGCAAACTGTGGCTTCTTCCATTTTGCCCTTCATCACACAGTTGCTCTTCAGCCTCCACCTGCACCTCCATTAAGTGTGCTTCATTGACCCCACCCGCCTTCATCTTATCTTCTTTCACTTCCTCCTCTTCCTCCTCCTCTTCTTCTCTCTCATCCAGCACCCAGGCCTCTCCTGACTGATCTTCGCCAGGCTTACACTCTACATCCTTGATGGCCTTCTGGTACAGCTCAGAGAAACTTCTGTAGAACATCAAACAATAACATACAGCACTTAGCAAGGCCAGAATAATCACACCTCTCTTTTCCATCCAGCTTTTCCCTGCACCATTGAGTCATAAATTAATGTAGAAGAGAAAAACTAAATGGAAACAAGTGCTATATTTATCTAAGCTTCTGTTATATTCTTGTAATATCATAGAGCACTGTCAGTTCCTTTCATGAATTGTGACATTTTTGTCACAGTTTGTGCGTTGCTGTCACAGAACAAGCATGTCAGCACTGAGACATAAATAAACTGGATGGTTCTCTGATGATGCTTCTGCTGCCAGCTTTGAAACGTTGCTTAAGTTAATGATCTTTAATCACGGTGGCAAAGATCTGCCTCACTGTTAGCAGCACACTCCCCTGTCAGTCAGTGAGAGGGCAGAAACAGCTGTGGCCACAGCTGTTACAATAAATAAAACCAATGTTAAACTGGACACCTCTGCAGCTCACAGTTAAGGACTGATTGGTTGTTAGCAATGTGGTGTTCCATCCCCAACAGAATAAGCTGTGACCCCAAAGTGGCACCTCTTGTTTTTCTGAAATGCCCACCGACCACCTCCTCTTCATTTGCTTTCAACCTCTCTCTGTCCTACACTGGGACTACTCTTCACTTTCTGCTGCTTCCTTAACACTCTTGATCCCCTTCTCCAGTCTTACCCTTTGTCTCCTGACCCAAAAGTGCTCCCATTAATGTTCTTTCTCCCTCCCCCTCTCCTCCTATCTGCATCCTCACCCACCTGCGAGGTTTGCCGTTCTCATCCGGTGGAATGACAGTGATGTGGATCTTGTGTGCAGTGCGGAGCAGCCTGGTCCTCTCCTCAGGGCTCAGGTGAACCAGCGAGTGTCCGCATAGCCGCACCACACGAGCCCACAGCTGCAGGCCTCCGCTCTCAGCGTAGCAGAACCGCTGCAGCTCCGTCACAAAGCCCTCCTCGTTCATGAGGAAGCCGGGCTGCCCGACTCCATCACGCAGGGGGGTGACCTCCAGTGCCTCACATCCCCGTGTAACCAGCTGCAGATGAGCAGAAGATGAATGAATCAAAAAGGTATAAACCATCCACTGCAAAATTTAAATCCACTTGCAACTCACCTCAAGCCTCTGCACCACCTCTCGTATGTCGTCTCCCTGGTTCTCCATCACACTGATTGACACAGACTCCCCACGCTCGTAGAAGATATCCAGGCAGGGCCCCCCATCCTTAGTCTCAATCACCGCCTTCCAGCCGATGACATCTCGACAGGAGCAGTTAAACACCACCCTGCGTGTGCACCTCTCAATGAGCACCACTGATTCGGCTGACACCCCAAGCAGACACTGGAGCTTGTGCTCTACTGCCTCCCCATCCTCTTCGCTGCTGACCATCACCGCCCACACCAGCGCCCCGGCGCTGTGCAGCTCGGCCCCTTTGGCGCCTTTCAGCTTGTCTTTGCGCTTACCTCCTAGAGAGAGCAGGGGGAACTTTGTGGAGGAGTCAATGGGTGTCGTGGTCACGTAGTTTTCAGCCAGATCCTTCAGGTATTCCTGCCGTGTGCGAGTGGCCATGGAGCGGAACTTTTCTGACTTTTCAGCAGCATTTTCTGCATTTACTGCCTTTGCCAGGAGGAAGTCTCTGAAAGCAGGTGAGCGAGGGAATCGGGCACCCTTAGGGAACAGCGGGCCAAATAATGGCATGTCTTTAGAGCGTGTCACAGCCACCCTGAGAGAGAAATGGAAAAAGAGGAATGACAGAGTAAGAGAGAGGGCACAGAGGACACATTTGATCTATGTCTTGTTGTCAGTGCTACAGAGTGTTGTGTTGCTCTGCAGAATTGCAAACATTTATACAGCATTTGCTGCAGTAGTGCACAGATTTGTTTTCCCCTGAGCTGCCCCACTATGCTGTAAGCAGCCCCAGCTTGTAACTATCAGGTATTGCTGTAAGATACACGTGTAATATTTCACATAGCAACACGCCTTTACACTGATTTTCATGCATATCATAAATGATACATATGTTGAATAAAATCTTCTGTGAAATGTTTTTTTTCTTAAAGATGGGATCTTTAAGTTCACTCCTTCCTATGAGGATACAAATGCTTGCCCAAAATTCATTATCTCAACAGTATTCAGCCTGAAAAAACATAAAAGTTTCAATAAAAATTAGGCC